TCCTGCCTCAGCCTCCCACATGCTGGGATTGTAGGTATGTACCACCATGCTTGGCAACTCTGGAATTAAGAGATTTTTCTAACTAAAACTGAAAATCTAAAGACAGTGGTAGCTTGTTTTACAAATTCAGTTCCCTCCATGATCACACCATGAACTGGACAAGACCCAAATCCAATTTCCCCATGAGGTCAACACTGAACCTAATCACTGAATTTGATTCAGTTCCCATCCAATTTGGTTTGAGACCAGAATCACAGAAAGAACTAAGTTCGTGAACTGAGGTACCATAGTTCAGTAAAATAGCTTATTACGTCAACTACATAAAAATACAAATTTCCACATTAAGAACTATCATCAGCAAATTGAGAAATCAAGGTAGACCTTGAGAACAACGTACTTTCGCCTTATATTAAAGCCTGTAAGATCAATATATGAACAGCTCCTAGAAATCAATAAAAAGGAAAATCATCAAGAATTTACTAAATGACCAAAAATCTGAGTAAATGGTCCAATGAATAAACAGATGCCCAACTTTATTAATAACAGGAGTACCGATTAGGTTGACCAAAGTAAAAATATTTGTACAACACCCAGCTGGTGAGACAGTAGAGAAGCAAGCACTTTCACACACCAAAGTCTAAATTTTATAATCCTCATGGGAGATAATTTGGCGACGTCTATAAAAGGGCAGTGTCACCTCTAAGAGTTAATTTTAAAGATTTGTGCAAAATGACACAAGGCTTCTTGGATGGCATGATTATAACAACAAGAACTGGCGTTCATCAGTGAGTGCAGCACAGAAATGTCGCAAGGCTTTAAAAAGTGAGCCTCCTTCTCACAGGAAAGTTCTCCAGTGTATCATGGCAATCAAAAGGCTAAGGGATGGTGAAGTACGGGTACTGCTGTTCATGTAAAGTACAGGACAGATGTGAGCATAAATTTTCACGTCCATCTATGCATGAGGGAGCACTACTGACACACAAGAAGCCAAGCGTAACACATGTCCTTCCTATAGAAAGAATTCCTAAAAAGAAAGTGTTCATAAAAATCAGAAAGAGAGAATTTCTCACGTACAAGAGCAGAGACAAACCAGCAGAGAAGCACAGGGATGGAAAGCAAACTTTATACTAAACATATATATTTATGGGTTTTGATTTCCGAACTATGTGAATTATAAATCACTCACCAATTTACTTTTAAAACATTGAATTTAGGAGAGTACAATCTCTTAACAGAACTTTCTTTGATGCTTGAGGCCTCCAATAATGAATACTAATTTGCTGATGAACAGACTTTCTTTGACTTCATAGACAAATTATTTTGATATTACAGAAGGGAGCTAAGTAACCTCAATACGATACGGTTTGCACTTAGTGGGCTAAGACAGCAGAAGTGATTTTTCCAAGTATATTTCCTCACAATACGATCCCCTTGCAACCTATGTCCTGCCCTCGCCCTCAGCTCTGCCAGCCACTTCATAAGCAAGTCCTTGGAGCCCTACGTTTGGCCGTTCCCACAGCAACTCCTCTTCTGTACCACATCCCCAGGACATTGAAGGCCACTCCGTGTGTGCAGGGTGATGCTGGGCATGTGGAGACACTGTCTTCACACTGCAAACCCAGGTGTTAGGAGCTAGACCCACATGGTTTACAGGAATGTTCACTGGCCACGCAGGTGGGCGCATGTCTGAGCAAAGCCACCTCCTGAGTGAAGCAGGACGAGGCCACAGAGCTGGGACCTACAGGCTTTGCTGGGTAGAAAACTATTTCTTCCCCTTGCTCTTCATTTCTGTAGCATCTCAGCTTTGCAGAGCAGTTTTAAACCAGAGAATTTCCAATCAGGAAGCAGTCAGTAAAAATATGGGCACTACCAGCTCACACTCAGTGGGTTTTGGGAACTGCTAATCAGGGCAGGGGCTCCAAATGCTCCACACTGACCTGATGGTCAGTTCCTGTCCCCTGGTTTCCAGATTCCTATACCTTTGTATTGATTGCAGCCCCAGGATCTATATGGGGCCCTGATCACCATAACATGGTGTCCATCTGTCCCCCAGAATGAGCCTTGCCCCTCAGGGTACCATAAGGATTCATTCTGACAACACGTTTGGGGTACCACCTGCTCATTTTACTGCTGTGGCAGTGACAGCACTGCTGCCTGTGTCCTCTTGACTCCATTTTACCTGCTTCTCAAATCAGTACCTCTGCTGCCTGTGGCTGCCACTGTCCTTTACTTGGCCTTAACTCCTTCTCTTGTGATAGACAGAGACTGGCTTTGGGACCCTGGCAGCAGTCCTGGTTCCTGCTCTGCTGGCTCATACCCCCCTCCCAGCAACTACCAGGTCCCTGCAGTTCCCTTTAGTCTCCTGGGTTGTCACCAGGGCTCCTTGAATGGAGCTGCTCCAGGCATCTGGGAGCAGTATGGACCTGGGACTGTCTCCTTCACCTGCTGCCACTGGCACCTGGACGACAGACGCCTACCTGAACTGCTACACATTGATCCAGCTGCAGTTGAGCCAGCAATGCCCTAATTAGAGACAAGAGGCAGCAGCTGCGGTAGGAAGCAGTGATTCTAGAAGTATGTGAAGTGCAGCTGCTCCGTGGAAACACAAGGTGACGACGACAGGAAATCACTCCCTCTCTACAGCCCCACAGGAGTTAGAAGGGACCAGGCCCATCACGAACGTTCTAGAAAACCATGCAGACAGTTTAACCTCACTCTTCTGGTGCTTGTCCAGTCGAGTCCAGAGGCATGGCACAGTACCCTGGTCAGATACTGGGATGACTCCCCAGTGCACCAGCTTTACAGGCTCACAACACAAGGGAAACATCAGTCAGAACTGAGGAGTCCTCTACTCTGCAAAAATCATGAGTTTAAGCATGATCCTATGAGCTGTGGAAAAGTGGCCTAGAATGAAGGTATGCGGTGTCACAAACTGGGTTATTAGGCTGCTTGTTGGGGAGCACTGGGTGTTCTAAGACTCCCCAGGCCCAAGCAGAGCTGAGAGCAGCTGGACAGTGCCCATTGCAGGGAGAGATGCATGGCCCACCACTCTGGACTCCTCCGCACCACGTGGACAGGACCAAAGTGGGAGGGAGCAGCACTGGCTGGCTTGGAGCCCAAGGTGAGCCTCGCACCTTGCTGTCTGCCACACTCTGTGTGCAGCAGCTGCAGATCATGAATAAACACAGGGCAAACGTCCTGCTCCTTCCTTCAGCCCCTACCCTACTGGTGGACATGGCAGGCCACATTGAAGTCATTTGCTTTTGTCCCATTTGTAAGGAACACAAGTGTGACCCTCTAAGAAGAACAGGAAATAGGATCCAGCACCTGCCCCAGGTCTTGAGGTGGGAAGCCTGGAACTAGACCCCAAAGAGATATGGGGCCTGTGAAAGGGACCAGTGCCCGGGGTAGAAAAAAGACTCGGTCTCCCTGCTGGCTGACCACCTAACACAGTCTCCATCTCAGTGTCTCGGAGGGAAGATTTGTTAAAGTAGAGTAAGCAATGGCCTGGAGTTACCACCTGAGCTTTGCCACGCCATCCATGTGTAGGAAAGCACAAGGAAATCCCTAAACCACTTTCACAAGCTTAAGTAAACTAGGCACAAACACGAGTGTGTGGGTGTGATGAGACTGGGGCTCTGTGCCCACCACCCGGGCACCTGACCAGTTGGCCCTGCTTGCCTACAGCCTCCTGATTACAATGACCTGAGCTCAGTGCCACAGCCCAGGTCAGCTTAGCAGGCTGGGCACTGGCACAGACCACTCCTCCTACGTCTATGAAATGAAGCTCATGTTGACTCCTTTGAGACAGAAGACATCAGGACAGCCAGCTTGCCCGTCATTCCACCAATGTGGCTGTCATGATTCAGAGGAAACGGCTGAGAGGGCAGCGTGCATAGGCACAGGAGGGCGGCATCGCGGGCACAGGCAGACCCTGCCGAAGTGCAGACTCGGGAAAGGACGAGCCAGCATTCCTGGCGTCTGCTTTCCTTTGCAGGGTGATGAGTTCTAGGTCTTTAGTGCCCAAGTTTCTACCCTCATAAGTGGATTTAATAATACTGTCTCAGAAAGTATTCACAGATGTGAACAATTAAGGGTTGCAAAGTACTTTGAAAATAAATGAAAGGGAGGTATTTAATATTTATAGTGAGTCTGTGCTTACAGGCTTCACAAACTAGAGCCGCCGGTTTAAGGCTTAGTTTTATGACTTTTTTTTGAACTTAACATAAAATACTTTTATTATAAAGCAATTAATGATGTGTCAGAAATACTTCCTGAATGTATTCAGGGCTTTCTCTGGAAAAACTTCAGATGTGATCAGAGATGTAGTTTAAATGGACCCCAGTGGCTTCACACTAATACTGTATTACGCTGAAACTGTATCTATCACCCATGGCCCCTGGGAAATCCAGAGGTGAGGAACCACAGGAAGACTATGATGTCTTCCTCTGATGCCTGAGGACACGAAGCAGTACAGTGATTTAGTTTTATTAAAATTATTTAGCATGACTATAAACCAAACCACAGCCACTCCCTTTTACCTAATGTAAGAAGTTTCTCCTGACAGCCCGTAAAAGCTGTACACAAACGGGCCTAAACACGCCTGGCAGAAGGCCCTGCTCCCCGCTTTGGAGCAGCACTGGCAGATTTACAGTGACACCGGAATGTGAGTGCAGCCTGTGCCTTGGGAAGAAGAGTTGTCAGAAGACAATTTCCACAGCAAATCTATATGCAGCTTGCCTGGCCCTCTGCAGGAGGTCAGCCTGGCTTCTTAAACAAAGAGCTTTCCCCCAAGCAAGTGGATGAACCTCGCATTGGACAGTGATCTGATGACAATGACCTGGGCTCCCTCTCATCTGTGACGACCACCAGAGGCCATGTTGCAGATCGTCCCACACAGAGTATCCCCAGCCCCGGGTTCCCTCAGATGGAAGAGATTTAGACCACATTGTCCTCCGCTGTCTTCAGCCCATAAATGAATGAATGGCTATCTCACTTACCAGGTGAGGGTGACGTCCCGGGGTCCTTGTTCTGGACCGATGGTTCACTTTTCCCATGGAAGAGAACCTCAGTTCTATCATTTGCAGCCTAAAGAGAAAGGAATGAATGTTTTCCCTGAAAGGAGGATCCTGAGGCCACTTTCCTTCAGAGCAGCGGCCTTTTATCTTCCACAGACTCCTCTCTCCTGCAAGCCCACCCATGGCATTGCTTAACAAAGATCGCCACCCCATGTCTCAGCAGAGGAAACGCAAGTGCAAGCAAAAAATGAGCCTAGAAAGCTACGTTCATAGACTTGGCAGCACTGTGCTCCAAGAATCCAGACGAGTCTATGAGAGTAGCTTCTCCCCCAAATTGCTAAAAGGCAAAATGAGGAGGGAGCCCTCACTAACATTCTGTTCAGCCAGTGGCCAATGCACCTGGTGCATTCCCGCTGACCGCTGTGTCTGCTGAGAACAACCCGCAGACACGCCAGCCTTGAGACAACCCCAACACCGGCCTTGAGACAGATGTGGGCAGACAGCAATAAGGACAGGCACCAGGGGTTCAGATCCATGGCTCAAAAGGCCCTCGCTAGCTGAGCCAAGAGCCATTCTTGGCTGGAACATGAGCTGAAGACACATAGCTGGCAGCTGCTCGCCCACCAGCCCATGCACACAAAGTTATGCAAGAATTCTAAGACAAGTCAGAAGGTGTGCAAAGTTAAGATAAGACCAGCACCCTGTGTACCAAGCGCCTACCTTAGGCAGAACGCACCAGTCATTTCTTTCTTCCCAGCACACATAAGCATCAGGTAAGAGCCAGTATTTACTGGTCCCTCTGAGGGATGAGAGCAGCGTTCTCACCAGTCCCGACATCAGTCTAACCAGGTAGGTGACGTCCTTGTCGGCACTTTAAGACTTCCAGGAGTTAGTGAGCTGTGAACCCTGTAGGCTGTGATGCCACCCTCCCTTCTGGGGTACAGCCAGCCCCTGGACCTGGCTTGTGCTGCCGCCACCTGCCTACACCCGGCCTCACCCGACTTCTTGGTAGACCCTGCAGTGCCACTTCTTTCACCAGGCTGGCTCCTTGGGCAGCCAGCATCTTCTGGCTGCAAGTGGCAGATTTGAGGGCTTGCTAAAAGGACTCACTTCAGGGGAGACACAGGGGGGTCCCCTAGACAGGCCCAGGAGTGTGAACTCCAGATGCATTTCATCTTAGTTTGCCTCCTAACTTTTGTCACATTTTTCTTCACACAGGACTCAATAGGTAGCTACAGCTATTGGAAACTGCCCAGTTGCTGGGACTGTACACCTGTGCCCTTGACCAGCTTCTAATCACTTTCCTCTGAAGACCTGGCTAGACACGAGCAGCACGGTCTACCTGGTCTAGAGGTCGGGGCCGCCTTATCAGTGCACCCGTGATGGCTCAGGGCCTGGGGCAGCAACTTGGTCAAATGAACCAGGGCTGTTGGATGGGTTTCTCTTCTAGTGAGCTCTGCAGAAAGCAGGCCCCAGGTCCTTCCTGAAGTCGAGATTCTTGGCCTCCTCCACTAGCCACCCATTTAGTGTTTATTAGATGTGTTGGGTGACAGGCTTTATTTCTGGCAGGAAACATTCTAATTAATGTGCTAATTATGCTGGAAACTGTCTCTCTTCTTCAGAGAAAAACGACAGTGCTGCAGCACTCCTACCAGCAACAGAAAATCAGTTAAAAACTGACAAATAAGGCGCAGGCAAGAATTATTATCAGCTGCTAACATGGGAGGATGTGATGGAAAAAGAACGTTCAAATGGCTCAGAAATCAGATCACACCTTAGCTAGGGGACACAAGGGGAGAAGGATCATATCGTAAGGAACGCAGCCCTACCCTTTTAAATGTACACAGATTTACACTGCACTGATGGAGCCACGATATCACACTCTTCTGGCTATGATGTGTCATGGACAGAACAGTACACACTGAGCCTCGGTCACTGGACGAAGAGAAAAAGCACACCTTCGTGTGCGCAGGGCATGTGGCCCTGACCTGTGTGGCACCTTGTGTGTGGATCACGGTCCCTGAGGTGGCACCAGGCATCATGCGTGTGCCACTTACCCCTGAAGGGCTGCAACCGAAGACGAGCACTGCACACGGTGTGTTCTTGAAGTGGTGCACTGAAGACCTGGTATCACGTGTAAGTCACGGGTTCCTAACACGACACAATGAAGACGTGGTGTCACCGGGGAGGTAACAGACTGAGGGTCTTGAGTCACGTGTGAGAGTCATGTGTGTCCCTGAGACAGTGTGCCGAGGACCTGACCCACATGTGTAACTCACACGTCCCTGTGCAACACACTGACTTTTACCAAATACTAGCCTCTGTCCCAGAGGCTAGTCTGGCCTGTGCTTCTAAAATCTATTCAGCTGGTTTCTGTTCCAATCCAAACATCCTGACTTCTAAGTGTTTTCATAAGATCACTTTACTTGTGGATTTCTTGGATAAATGTATTAACATTTGTTTCTTCTCAGTAAAAGTCCAAATTTTCATCAAAGCTGCATGTGTAAGACTGATGGTTTCTCTCCATTTATTCTTCTCTGGTCTGGTATAGGTTACGAGGTTCTCAGAATACTGCAAGACTGACTTAAAGAACCTGTTAAGAAAAGAGAAAATCTTGTTTATACATCACAAAATGCGATAATGATTCAAATGTCTTCTCAATGCTCTGGGAATTATTCCGAGAGTTGAGTATGACTTCATGTTTATCTATGCAGTCAGATAAAGAAATATATACAATATGAAGGGCCAGGGGTTTTAGTTAAGTGGTGTAAGTGCCTGCCTGGCCATCACAAGGTCCTGAGTTGGATCCCCAGTACCAAAAACAAAAACAAAAAACAAACTGGATACAAGATGAAATAACAGAATGGGAATTACAGGAAAAATAAAAAGTGCTGAGCAGTAAATGTCATCAATACCCAGATGAGATTCTGGAAGTTTGTAGACAGCAAGTGCATTTTCACACATACTGTCAAATCCAGCTATGAGAGCTTTTCAGTGAGAAAACATAATTGCAGAAAGGATCTTGGGACCTTCTGTACGGGACTGACCCTGAGCAGGCACACAGCCTGCCCTGTGGAGACACCTCCACCCGGAACACCTCCGCTCCTGACAGAGGCCTCTGACATCCCCCATAGCTCTGTGAGCCAGCTGGGGCCATGAGGAAAGCTCTTCCCTAAAGATGCAGCAAAAGGACTGCCTGTCACTCAGTAACTAGCAGGAAAGCCATTATTACTCCCCCAAGTTCTCAAGAGTTTCTCCAAGTAGTAAAAACTTCTCCAATTTTGATCTTGAAATCTTTCAAATTTAAAAGTTAAAATAATGACACCCCAAGCCACAAACCACAGACCCTTAGTCTAGGGGAGTGGTTCTTGGTCTAGGGGAGTGGCGATTTTTTTCCCCATGCCTAAATCCCTTCTGACTGTCACAACCAGGGGGTGCTCCTGGTAGGTGGCAGGTGGAGGCCAGGTTGCTGCAGTCTGTAGGCACTCCCACCAGAGAGGGCCCAGCCCAAATGCCTGGCTGAGAGCCCTGGCCAGGGTTGCACACATGCACTGCACTCCCCCTGGGCTGTGTCTACCCAATTGCTGCAGTCATGTTTTCCGGCTCATCTGAAGTACGTGGGGATACGCCTGCCACCTGCAAAGCATCAGCTTAGACTAGTGCTGGCAAACCTATGGCCACAGCTGACTCTCTGTATCACTGAAAGCTCTAAAAGGTCACCACCACAAGCTTAGACCGATGAAAGGCATCAGGAACTGCAGGAGGTGGAGCAGGAGGTGGAGCGAGGCTCAGCGAAGGCAGCTACATCCGAGTGCACACTGCTCCTTGGGATGGTCTGTCTGAGGGGCTGCCTCGGTTCTCAACCTCTGCATTCATAGGAAGTGGGCAGCACGTGGGTCATCTACTTGTGGGCCCCTACGTCTGCACGATGGCCTTCTCCAATTGGAAGCTATTGGTCATACACAATAAAGCTGGATGGCCCTGAGCCACCTGGACACAGTAGGGTCTATTCTGTGGCCCAGACTTCAGGCCTCTGCCCAAGACAGTTGTGGGTGCCACCAAGGGAGCTCAGACTGCACCTGAGGCTCCTGTGATACCACTTCCTCGCCTCAGCAGCCTGTGCCTGTGTGTTGTGCTATGTCTGAGCAGACTGCAAAACTTTGGAAGGAGTCCCGTGTAACCCATATCTAATTTTGCGGCATGTGCCCATGTGGGTGTCAGTCTCAAATGTTCACAAACTTCTTAGCACTAAGGACACAAGGTCAGCTAAAGCCTGTCAGAGTCTGTGTGTATATTGGGGGGAGGGTATTTAAAAACGTTTCCAAAGATTGCTGGTTGAGGGGGAAATTATTTAAAAATTACTCAAACATGATGATTTCTTGCAAACAGAACACACTCACTTTAGATACTGTTGATATTCGTCAGTAGTTTTTCTATGGACAAAATGAATGTTGACCAATTCTAATGCAGTGAGCAGTAAAATCAGGTGAAGCACAGGAGACAGAAGCCTAATGCTAGAAATGGATAAAAGTAAATTAAAATTTGATGAACATAAATATCTTCCACTTTCATAAGGAAAACTAGCTTTCCCCTACCAACATCCTTTTCAAGTATCTTGAAGTCCGAGCACCTCAGAAGACAGTTTTCCAGACACTGTGAGCCCAGAACCTCAAGGCCAGTCTGCAGCACACGGCGGAGGCCATCCTCTGTTAGCCTGCACCGCCAGGCACCGGGTCCCGCAGCCCTGCTCAGCACCTTATCTGGTTCGAGCCTCCACAGCCCCACTCTGCACAGCCTTGCTGTGGTGCCCGTACTGTGCTCAGGCCTCACATTCTCGGTCATCGGCACATTTCTCTCTGCCTCAAGTTCAGTAAAGAATTTTTACAAGAAGAGACAAAGGAATGGCTTATACATGAAAGAGTCTCCTGACTCAAAGAAAGCCTAACTTTAAACCTCATATTTCTTTTCCCTTAAAATCAGTAAAGATGTTTAAAAATACTCGTTTTGGTAGGAATTAACATAAGGGCACTGTCTTACCAACTACAGGAGTGCGAACCAAGCACTCTCCAAAAGCAGCTCACCAACTCCTATTATTACCACAGGGAACACCTACCCACTCAACACAGATTCTAGAAACTTTCCTAAATGGTCCTTTCTTAAGAGGGTAGCACATTTCCAAATATATGCTTGGGAATAAGGGAAGAAGTCATAAAGCTGACAAGTCCAAGTTAACACGCTGTTGGGCTCCAGATCTGCAGACATCTGGGTTGATGGAACCCGTACTTCTGTATACCAGACTCACAGACACTGTTATAAAAAGCACGCATTGCGTGAGAAAGGTGAAGAACTCAGTAAAGACCAGAACTGCATCCAGTTGCCTCCCACGCCCGCCCCAGCCGCACCTGGCCCGCATGCTCAGGTAGTTCCGCCGCTGCCGGGATCGCAGTGTCCGCTCCTCCCACTGCTGGTGCCTCAGCTGCAAGGAGGTGACCACATGGCTGGACACGGCCTGGCAGTGGGAGGCAATGCTGCGGAGCACAACCAGCACTTCTAGCACAGCTCTGGGGCAAAACAGCACGGAGACACGCATGCTGCAGAGTGCACCAAGCAGCAGGGACCACCTGCAAGTGACAGCAAGACTTAGGGGACGTTCCCACCCTAGAGCATTGCTGCTAGACTGACATCCAGATGGGCTTGTCAGAGCACCTCTGGGCAGGGCCCAGGGATGCTGCCGATGTACAGGAAGTGAACAGAGCGGTATTTGTGACCTCCTCAGATACACTAACCCTGCACAATAGCCAAGCCTTATCTGAGAGCTCTGCTCAGGGCACTCACACTGGAGCCCCAATACTACCCCAAGCTTCTGAAATTTAAAGCGAGGAACAGCTAGACTTTCCGTCCTTGTTCACCTAATGAGGCTTAAAACTGTCACCTATCTTGCACTCACTCCTCAGCAGGAGGGTCATCACAGACACTAGGAACACGGTGATTCTCAGGTACGTGGTGACAGAGCTCTTCCACAATTTCTGTAATTAGAGAGTAGCAGCCATTTGTTTCAGTATCTTCCAGCCTGAAAAACATAAAGTATTTAAAGACACACAGTAATAATAAAATGCCCACATTAGTGCCCAGGCACTTGCTCCAGTGTCCAACAAGCAATGCACTTGGAATTTAGCTTCCCCAAATATAAAATGAAAACGGACAGCTTCGCAGAGTGGTAAAACAAATAACGCAACATGTCAAATCCTACACAGACAAAAGATAACCTGCGAACCACCCGAAATCTATTCCCATCAATAAGAATGACCTCAAAATTTGTACATCTACCCCTTTCCTCACATTCTAGAGTCCTCTTTGGTTTGTTTTCTGGGGTTGTTTGTTTTGCTTTCAGTGGCACTGGGGAAGGAACCCAGGAAATCAGATATGCTAGGCAAGTGCTCCATATCCCTATCCCTTTTTGAGACAGGGTCTCACTAAACTGCCCAAGATGGCTGGGACCTTGCAATCCATTAACCCCCCAAGTGGCTGGAATCACAGGCATGTGTCACCATGCCTGGCAAGACTCCTCTGTTCTATCCTGCAGTCCTCTGTGCATGCTGCAATCCCCCGCAAGCCCTGAGGCTCGCACCATGCCTTCAGGTCACAGTCAGAAGGGCTTCTAGCTCTCACCCCCTGCAGTAACTCACAGGCCCAGCAACCTCTTCCCCTCCCACCTCCAACAGGGAAGAAGGAGCTCTTCTGATGCCCACGGCAGCCCACAAAACTTGAGGGCTGCACAACCCAAGACAACGCACCTGGCTGCATCCTGACAGGACTCTTCCCGCAAAGGCCGCAGGGGCCACATCCTGATGCTCTCCTCACAGCTCAGCACCTGGGAGGAGACACTACAACAATAGCCTAGAAAATACATCCCCAACTGTTACAGATGCTACAATGCTTTCCAGAAAGTGTTATTCGTAAAGTTCTTACAGGCCCTACTGCATGTAAAAGAAAGGCGCTGTGGCTCAGGAACTCAGTGCATTCCTATGAGAGACAGCTGCTCAAACAACAAGAGACCACTCTTCAGGTAACCTTTGGGTGGCTGTGAATATGGCCACAAATCCTTCTCTCATCTGAGAGGTGGGACCAGGTTCTCCCCTCAACTGGAATTGTGACCAAGAGAATAGACGTGCCCCTTACATGCCCCTCTGGCTGTCGGGCCCATGCAACTCAGGCAGAGTCCATGACCCCACAAGTCTCAGATCAGCTTCCAGCTTTTACGGACAGGAACCTGCCCAGCAGAGCTGAGGGACCACAGTTCATCACACCTGCTAAAGCCCATGTGACTACCAAACTTCTGACTCACGATGAGAAAAATTTAAATGGTAGCTATGAAACCTCTTAATGGATAATTGATTATGCAATAACCAGAGAAAGCATGGGACTACCTGTAGCCACAGAACATGCCATGAAGCACAGGAGGGACACCTGGGCCTTGGAAACAAGGGACACTTAGACTTCAGAAAAGAACCCCCGGGAGATGATAGGAGAGACACCTGGGGTTTGGGAGAGGACAGCATGGGACACAGGAGGGTCTAGAACTGGGGACCCACATGCAGGAGACCAAGGACATTCTGACTGAAGCCTTTCCTCTTCATTTTGCTGTGTCTAAACACTGGTCCCTGCAGGAAGTTCTAGCCTTGCACTGACTTTTTGCAAAGCACAAAATCATGACAGGGAATGCTGGTCGTGAGTTCAGTGATGGAGCAATATCCAAACAACACAGCCCACATGCCTGACCTAAACCAGAACGTGCTCGCCCCACTCCAACTGTGTTTCTGCCTTACAAGCAGCAGGATGCTCGTGCTGTCTGCACCTCCACTCATGGCCACGTTGCTCACAGACTCTGCCAGTGGCACCTCTGTCTGCGGTAGCCACTGCTTTATGGCTTGGCTGTCTGGAGGAGGGCAAGCTCACGGCACATGTGTACCTGAGAGGCCATCCTGGGTCTGGCAGCCTTGGAGACTGAACCTTTCCTGTTCCGCTGTAGCCTTCACACTCTGCCACATGCAGAATAAAGCACCTCAGCCAATTCCCAAACGGAAGTTCCTGGCAGAAATTTTATGAAGCTTGGTTTCTGTTTGAATGTGTGAGTTAATAGGAGCTAGTCTTACACAGTGGAGGAGAAAGAAACTGTCCTTCTCACTGACAAACTGTTCCCAGCCCTGGACAGAGGACAGGTGACCATCAGGGGCACTGTGACACAGGACCTACACTTTTAGCTTGGTACCAGAAACACCTGGTGAGGCTCAACTTAGACAGTCAACCTAAGTCACAGAGGCTCAGACAGACGGACACCTGACCAGGGTCACACAGCAGGGGACCCTGTCGTGTCAGAACGCTTGGACAAGTGTCTGGCACTTCTGATGCCTCTGCAAAGGAGCAGCTTCACACACCAGCCCACTCCCTGCCTCGGTCACAGTCTACTTGGCTTTGTTTTTTAATTTAACATTTCTATTTTAGACTGCAAAAACAAGCAGACAACCGATCAAAAAGCATGAAATAGGCTCATCAAGTGCTGCAAAGTCTTCCTTTCCAGGAAAGTAGAAGGTGGGCCAAGGTAGGTCATTCCCAAGACCGCGGACACCCTGTTTCACCGCTGCCTGCTGTCTGCTGGGGTCTGAGTCATGGCTGGAACATTCTCACCCCCTCCTCTCCTTCCTCGTCGGCTTCTTCACCACCACCATAATCATTGTCATCACCTCAGGAGCTTCTCCAGGGAATCACCCTGCGTTATCTGCACGAGTAAAACGCAGCCAGTTCTGAAGTCTGCAGCCAGGATGGCTCATGGTCTCTCTCCATGCTCAGGCACGCAGGAGGAGCAAGAAACTAAAGGGTCGCTGGGAACTGTATTAGTCCCAGTGTGAACTGTCCCACATCCTTTATGTTTCTGCTGCTTTTTAATGGCTTCCAAAGTGACACTCTTTCCTTTTTCCCATCTGGGTGGCACCCTGTACAGTCAGTCCATAATTTCTGGTCTATCCAATGAATAGGGCTCAGAGTCATTTGGTACAGGTCTCACCCTATGTCTCCGTCAATACCTCATTTGTGAAATATTCCCTGGGTTCAAAGCAAAACCCTGAGGGAAATCTCTCAGGCCAGCCAGCATCTGACAACTTCACTTTCATGTCCTTCAAATGCTTCAGAGTAAGTTCATCCTGTTCCTGAAGCAGCTCACTGGGCAAGTCGACATTCTTAAAATTAGTCAGCCAAAATTTAGGAATTCCTTTAGGATTTCCTTTTCTTCATTGTTTTGTTGTCTTCAATTTTGGCCTTTTCTCTCAGCTCCTCTGAAATTTCATCTTTCTCATCTGGTCTCCATGCATGCTCTTCTTCCATAGGCCATGAACTGCATTAATGATCTCAAATCACTTATTAATACAGGTTGACAGAGACAGTACACTTCCTTCCTGGATCACAAACTTCCCCACAGAATCTGCCTTCCATCTGTGCACAGTTAACCGATGGCTTTTGAGGGCACTGATCCTCCCTTTCACTACCTCAGGCAGGCTGTTGATGTCTGCCATGTTGTACGTAAGGAATCCAAGTATCAGCAGCTACTTCAGGGAGTCAAGCAGCTAGGTCCTTGCAGGCAGTGACCGGTGGCCTCGGCTTGGGGAGGAGGTGGCACTAAGAATGGATGGTGCTAAAAACTAAAAACCCAACACACCTGCTTTTTAAGCCGGCTCACTGGATGGCAGCGAGAATGGTAGCCTTCAGCAAGAGTGAGCAGCAGCCTCACCGCTGTATCCTCCTAGTCAAGAAAAATAAATGACATCACAACTTTTGGTTGGGCTTGTCTCTTCTGTTGAATTATTGATAATTTACAATCTGAATTTCTCCTTTTTCAGTTACATTGCAATAAAACATCATTGAAATAGGCTGGACCCAGCAGTCAAATCAGAGCCAATGCAGATATTCATAGTTTAACGACTGACCAGTTTAACAACTCTTGGGGCTTACAATCCGGCCCTTCAGGCTGATTTACAGCCCATCTTTCTTTTGGTATAGCTCTGTACATCTCGTACGTACAGCCTCAGTGTCTTTTTGGTGCAGTACACCTTGTTCACGCAGCACCGTAAGTTTCGCTGATTGTACTGTACAGTGCATACTGTAGCTTTACATTCTGTTATACATTACGGCACTGCGTGTAAGAGTCATGGGCTGGGGATTTAGCTCAGTGGCACAAGCATCTGCCTGGCAAGCGTATGGCTGTGAATTTGATTCCCAGGCCGGCTGTGATTTGACTACCGGGTCCAGCCTGTTTTGATGGTGTTTTACTGCAGTGTAACTGAAAAAGAAGGAAAAAAAAGAGTTATGTCAATAAAAGCAAATTCATCAAATTAAGAGTCTGCTTTGCACATTTCTTTGTTCTGAACTGTAATGTGTATACAGTTCCTCACTTAGCAACCACTTCATTCAACCACCCACTCACAGGAATTGAACTTGGTCATTAAACAAGGAATGTTTAATAGTGTTTAAGTGGATGGAGTCTAGTAGCAGGATAAATTATGAAGCTCATGACCACCTCTGTCCCAAAGGCAAGAAAATTATAAATGCATAATAACAGAAGATTTCAAACTGTAAAAATTTTAAGTGCAATACAACTAATTTTAAATCAATCCAACTAAAAGGGAATTACATGGCTAGCACACTTACCTGCTAAACACTGTGTATGTACTTTAAAAAGAACAAAAATAACATTATCTGGAGCTGATTTAACTATACAATCAGAAAATCCAAGAGACAAAGGAAAATCAATAGAAAAGAGAATGGAAAGTTGTCAACAGTCCAAAACAACTCCAGTAGTGAGAAGTTAACCTCTGAGGTCACTGCTGACTTTGCGCCCCAGACAGACCAGAGGGGTGGGCACGCAGTATTCCTAGGGGATGTCCCCACAGGGCACACAGTGTTGAGCGCAAGTCAGCAATGAGCCGGTGGGGGGCACTGCCAGCCTGCAGCTCCCTGCCAAGCACCTGACTCTGTTCTGTGTGAATCCACCTAATGGTCTGTAGTTAAAGAGGTCAAAACATGAAAAAGGAGCCGGCTGCTGTGCTGAGAAGAGAGTGAAGCGTCACAGGAGGAAGTAGGGGACTCACAGCCAGTGGCATTTCAAGGGAAGTGAAGACGGTTTCTCCAGGGCAGCAGCAGAGTGACAGAGTACCTGACCTGGGACATTCTTGTAAGATGGAGGGTTGAATGTGGAATGTGAAAACAGGACAGGCAGGCTGCGGCCTGGGCGCGTGCCTGCAGCGATGGGAGAGTACCTAGATGGGGGCTGGGCAGGACACAGGAGACACTGCATCTGTTTAGAGCATGGCGCACCAACTGGCTCCCTCTGCTCGGAACCCAAAGACCATGGCTTGGTGTTTGCCTTCTGGGTTTCATGCTTATTTCATCCACTCACTTCAAATGCAATAATAACAAAACAATAGAACAGGCAGGAAGTATCTGCGACAGCGAGGGTTGTGCAGAATAACTCAGCAGGCACTACATTAGACTCCAAGGCTTCGGTGAAGATGAGAGATCTCAGCAGGGAGTCCAGTGCGGAGCCCAGGGCACGGGGAATCAAGACAGCTCCCCACAAGAAGTGCAGCCATGTCATTTGTTATTCATAAAGTTTAAAAGAAAGGTAAAGCTAGCTTCTCTGCCTCACCCCAAAATGAACTAAATCTCCTTGGATCAAAATATATACATGAACAAAAATGGTAAAAGTGCTATGGAAGATATATATAAATACATTCATAATTTTGATAGTAAAGCAGCTTTTAAGAATGACAGCAAATACAGAAGCCAAAGAGAAAAAAGAACAAAAAGCTTTAAGCAATATGTGAAAACAGACCACTGAAAAAAGATAAATCTTGCCAGGAATAGTGACACATGCCTATAATCCCAGCACTTGGAAGGCTGAGGCAAGAGGATTGCCACAATTTTGAGGCCAGCTCAAGGCCAGCTTGAACTTCAAAGCAAGACCTTGTCTCAAAAGACAAAAACTACTACAAATAATAAATACATAAATAAATCTTAACAAAGTAGAGCAAAAGACATTGATAGTCTATTAATGAAAGAATTACAGACATCTACTGAATACAAGAAAGGGTCAAAATATTGCAAAGAAATGAAAAGGAAAACAAGATCTTGGCGATACCGCTGCCCTCAGAACCTTGTTTTACAAGTTTACTAACCAGGACTCACATGGACAGACGTCCACTTCAGTACCACAATTAAGAATTTTCCACGGGAGGGAAATTCGTAACCTGTTCTCCTTGGAAGGACTGATCCACAGTGTCTGTGGGTGAAGGGGAATGACAGCAGACAAAAAGAACACACAGAAGGAAGCCACAGCTGTGCTGAATAAAAACGTGGAGGGCACAGAACTCACGCTCCTGTGACCTGGTCAGGAATGCTCTGGGGAAGACACAGTGTACAGACGCCCAACTGGGCACACTCGTAACTTCTGGAGATAGAGTCCCTGATGGCTTTTAAATTTCATCTTAATTTTCCTGTCTTATGGAAACTTTTAAGCTATTCTAAAAATAACTGTCACACATATAATCTGGAAACAAACAATAATAAATTTTCTAATGTAGATTATCTTAAAATAACAAAATAATTACAACCAACTGATACAAGTACCCCACCCAACCAATTTAACAGACACCATGAACACTTCCCAATGTTATAACTGTTCTATAATTTGTTCTTTGCTTTTCAAAACCATTCTGTTAAAATTGAAGGCACATGTGTATGTAAGTGAATTAATTATTTTTCAGTGGTACTGGTTGATACACATGTGATAAACTTGCAAAGACGTGTGCTGGTAGAAGGGTACTATAACATAAATAAAAGATGATGAAGAGTTAGTGACACCTGAGGAATACACTAGGTCCTATTGCTATTAACGTCCCCACGCGTTACCTTAGCAGCTGAGAGCACCGCTGCATCAGAAAATCTCAGTAGCAGTACAACGGAAAACGCGAGCAGCTGACTTGCTGCTTCCTTGGGAAACTCAGGTAAATTGACCTCCCCGTGGCTTAACCGGTCACGTACACGGGGACCCTCCTGACAGTTCAGAAAATCCCAGAGGAATTCCTTTTAGAAAACCGAGAGAAAGGATTCATTAGTGTTCCAGACAGCGAGAAGGGGAAGGGGAAGGCTCAGAACAGGGTGGCACCTGGCACACCTGGGGGCCCTGGGAAGTGGGCCCTTGCTCCCTCCAAGCACCAGGCAGGACGGACTTGAGGGCTGCCTTGGAGGTGCCGGAGCCCAGTGACACCACCCCTCACTGTTATTCTCACCCGCCTTCTTCTCCTAGGAAATGAGCCTGCTGTCCATGTCTGCACACAAACCTTCCCAGTGCAGCACGGGAAACGCTACTCTCACTTGTCTGAACAGAGGCCTTCTACACATACAGGCAGCAAAAGTGGCTCGGTCGCCAGGGCTTAAAACAGGAGCCAAGTTCCCAGCACCAGGCACAGGGCCACAGATGGGTCAGTGCAGCCAGCTCTGCGCGGGGCCAGGGCCTAGGGCTCAGCGGTGGCCCAGCACTGCCCCTGGGCACACGGCCATTCTGGAGAAGCACAAATGCATTCAGAAGCCTGACAGTGCTAGCCTGGGAAGTACTCTGTGCTTTACCATAGCAGGCTCTCCAAGGAAAAGAGGCAGCAGGTTGGTCTGGCCATCAGTCAAGTCTTTTGCCAGTATCTAGAAGCCCAAAATAAATACACTGTTAAACTGACACATACACACAGCCAACATTTCTCACATACTATCTGTTTCTCTCTCTCTCTCTCTCTCTCTCACACACACACACACACACACACACACACACACACAAAGGTAAAATACACATGTTCTTCTTAAAACTATTATACTGGCTACAAACAGTTCTGCTGAGTGGTAGCTGCTATGAATTTAAGACTGCTCATGTTTCATTTTAATTTGCTTGTAACTAACAGAATGTGTTACCTGAACATACCCTGTCCTTTGAACACTGTGCATTGTGTGTGTGTGTGTGAGAGACTTTCCTATACGATACCTAAAACTGACAGCACTTGGGACTCTGTAGTCCAGCAACTCTGACCCAAGCCCACACACTGACCCAACGCAGACTGACTGAACTACTTATACAGTTTAATCCTCCTATCACCATGTAAGCCATGCACTGGAACAATGGCAAGTCATTGACCTGGAATGGAATAAGCCTGCAGGCAGGCAGGTGCCTTTTTAACTCTCCACTGCACAGTCAGTTAGGTCTCATAGTCATTGTAAAGGCAGAATGACTTGAGTGCCCAAAGCTCCATCGCAGCCTTGCCCCTGGCCTTCCTGACAGTCTGTCTGTCACTGCTCAGGCACCAGAGAACTGCACAAGAGCACACATTCGGAAGCCTCTACGCTCTGTGGGCGATGCAATATATTTTCAATTTTAATTCTTTCTCTTCTGGGTTTTAACTTTAGAATCAGACACCCAATGTGCAGATTACAAATATCAGCAACACTGTAAGCAAACAGCAGTATCTGAGGTGTATGTCACATGCAAACATAATCAACATTGATTCTAAACTTAAAACGTACATCTCTTAAGTACAGCCAAAAATGTCAGTATCTCTAATGTTTTCCAACTTTTCAGTTTCGTACAACTTTACAAAGTAGAATAATAGGTCTCAAAATTAACCTGAAAGTATATTTAATCATTTTTTTGCTTATATTACTATCAATGTTTTCCTTTTTCCTGTAAGTATACACAATAAATTTGTGTTTTAATTAGTATTTTAAAAGGAGACAACATTTTATCTTTAGTTGCCTTGTAAGTATACTCACTTCATCAAAGGTGGTGTAAAGAGTCGTTGACTGCAACAAAGGAAACAAAAAGAAATGATTAGAGCAACATGCTGTAGAGTGACATCATTCAAAGTACGGACAAAGTCTCACAGCCGCAAAGTTGGGAGGTGCCGGTTCCCAGTGAATCAACTCTGTTACTGTCCCCATGCTCCAAGGAACGGAAATGGCTGTCCACGTCTGGAAACCACAAGAAACACTGCTCTTGTTTGTGTGAAGCAGAGGCTTTGTGCGGCTACTCCCTCCTCCCTTCAGGCTGGGCCCTCTTCCACCTCTGGGGAAAATGAACTTTCATTTAACAACATTTTGGGAAAAATAAATACATTATAAAAGACAAAGGCTGGAGTTATGGGTTAGTAGTATGGTGCTTGTCTAGCATGTGCGAAGCCTGTGTTAAACTCCCAGCACCACACGCACACACACACACACACACACACACACACACACATCACATAAAAATTCACTTAATCTGACAGTCAAGGAACGTTAGAACAGTTTTTACAAGTCCTTTAGCTCAGTCACTTCTAAAGTTTATGATCCCAAACCTTTGCAAATCACTTCCCACACAAACACAATATTCCACTGCTGGCTGGTATCTGTACATGAGCAAGTATAATTCAGTGTTTTCTGCTTATGTTACCTGCATCTTGGTACCATCAGCCCAAATTCAAGCAGGCTCCTCAGAGCAGTAATCCCACCCTCATCACCTTCAAGAAATAAGACGTTGGGTTATTTAACTCCACTGATTCAAGTTTTCTCAGCAAGTGAGGGCCTGAATAAGGCTACCTCCAGCTTCTGGGAGAAAGCAATGATACTTAACACCGTGTGACATGCAAGTACTTTATGTAAGTCAGTACCTAAGAAATATTTTCTTATTATTGCTTAGTGACATATCTTCCCTGTAATTCAGGTTAACTGTCCCTTACCTTACATGTTTGGGAGTGAAAGTGTTTCAGATTACAGGTTTCTGATTTGGGGATAGTTCCACAGAGAAAAAGAGATGGCTGGAACGGAAGTCCAAGCCTGAAACTTATTTATGTTTCATGTGTGTCTTACACACACAGCCAGCCGGTGGCTTTCTGCACACCCTTAGTGTACCTGTGTTTGTACTGGACCCATGACATGAGATAAGCTATGAGATTTTCACTTATGGGATCTCGTCAACTTTCAAAAAGTTTTAGATTTTAAAGCAAAGATTTTGGATTTTTGGACTGGGGATGTTTGAGCTGTATTATCAAATGTTCTTTAATGTTTATTACTATAAAGATGACTCTAAAAGTGGTATCTCTAGGTCTCAAAAAAGAATTGCTGGCCCTAAAATTTTTCCTGTGTTATACCCTAAATATACCCTATAAAATATCACCACTTTCTCAAAAGATAAATTTTTCACTTATTTCCATAAAGCATACAAGCTACTTGCTATTTATTTTTATAAAATTTTATGTCTTCTCTGTCTCCTCCTGTAAGCCCATAAATGTCAGAAAGCCTGAGAAACTCAGAAACCCACTTGCAGAAGAATAAAACACTTCACTTTCTCACTATTTGTAAAAATCAACTAAAAATGGCTTATGCATTCAAATGTAAGGCTGAAACAGTAGAAGAAAACACAAGGGAAATACCTCAGGCCATTGGAACTGGCAAGGATTTTTTGGTCAAAACCCCACAGCACAGGAAACAAAAGCAAACACAAACAAAAGGGATTATATGACACTCAAAAACTTCTGCACAACACAGGAAACAATGAGTACACAAACAGCCCACAAGGTGGAAGGAATGATTTCAAACTATGTATCTGACTAGGGTTTACCACTAGAATATATATGTAACTTAAAAAAACTTCAAAAGAAAAACAAAACAAATTTAAAAACATGATTTAAAAATGGATGATAGACATTTCACAAAAGTGGCCAACAAATGCATGAAGAAATGCTCGGTACCACGAAGTCCACTAAGTCACAACAGAAATGCAAATCAAAGCCACAGTGATGTGTCATCTGACTCAACAAGACAACTCCTATCGAAAAGACGCAAGATAACCAGTGCTGGCAGGATGTGGGGGAGAGGGACTGCTTGCACACAGCTGGTAGAAATGTAAGTTGGTACAACCATTGAGGCAAAATTAAAAATGAAAATGTCATGCAATCCAGCAGTCTCACTCCTGAATATAGATCCAAAGGAAACGAAACTGATTCGGTAAGTAGAAGAGATCTCTGCATCCCCATATTTACTGCAGCACTATTCGTAACAGCACAGAAGTGGGAACAAACCTACATGTCATCCATGTATGCGTGTATATACAGGGGATACTGTTCAGCCACAGAAAAGAATGAAATCATGTTATAGGACTTTGGATCAAACCTCAGATCATTACAGTAAATGAAACAAGCCAGACACAGAAAAACAAGAATCTTATGACCTCACTCATATTGGGAATAGGGGGGGGAAAGTTGATCCCAGGAATTGAGAGGCTGAGGCAGGAGGATTGCCACAAGTTCAAGGTCAGGCTGGGTTCAAAGTGAGTCAAGGCCACCTTGAACTGCACAGTGAAACCTTACCTCAAAGAGACAAAAAAAAAAGTTGAATTCATGAAGCTGAGAGTAGAATGGTAAATGGTGACGGATGGAGACAGTAATGAGGGGAAGTCAGAAGTGGAAGGTGGTCAACAGGTACTAAGTTAGCTAGATAGAGTCCTCTGGTGCTCCTGCACAAGAGGGTGACAATGATGTATTATATAATTCTAAAAGCAGGAGCAAAGGATTTCAGTCTTGTATCTGTCATTTTACCATCACTGGAACAAAATCCTCAATACCATAAACTTAAACAGGTTTATTTTGGTCAAGGTTTCAGAAGGTTCAGACCACGCATAGTTGGCTGGCTGTAGGCACAAACAGCTTGATGGAAAGACACAGCAAACAAGAACTGCTCTATCCACAGCAGCTGAGAAGCAGAAGGAGTGGAAGGGAGGAGTCATGGCCAAGATGCACCCTTCCAGGTAATTCCCCCTCGACTCACCTCCAACCAGCCCCTCTCAGAATAGCACATTCAGCTATGAACACATGCATGGAACAATACCCTGAAGAGTGCGATCCAACCGCCTTGCAAAACCCTCTCTCTGAACACACGAGCCTTCTGGGCAACTCTGTTTGAAGAGGCAGATATGTTTAACCTGACTTGAACATTACACAACGCATACCTGTATCAAAACGCATACAGTACCCCATTAATACATGGAGTTTTCATCTTTGTATGTGTCCATTCTTTTAAAAGGACTCAAAGTCTTTGTTCCAGTTGCATCTAAGTATCCCACGAAGGCCTTGTGATGAAGGTATGGTCTCCAGCATGGCACTATTGGGAGGTGGTGGAATCTTTCAAAGCTGGGCCTTGAAGGGACATCTCTGGGTCCCGAGAGGCAAGCCCTCACTGGGAACCAGGCTACCTCAATTTCTCCACTCTTTGGTTTCCTGGAGTGTTCACTTTCGGGCTCCTACCAGAATGTTGATACCACAGACCTCAAAACAATGGGGTCAACTAATCATGGAGAGGAACCTCATACTGTGCGCTAGAAATAAACCTTCTCTCTTTAACTGGTTGCCTCAGCCTTTTGTTGTAGTAATAGAATGCTAATCCAGTCTTACTAAAATTCATCTCTCTTGGAGTTTGAAGAGATTATATGCCACAAAAAGTATTCAATAAATAATAATGGCACTAAGAGATTTATGAAATATCTTCACATGTATATAAACCTATAAATTCAATGTTTTCTTCTAGATGGAAGCCTGGGCTAACACATCATATTCACTGGTCAATTATACCCTGTGTGCAAATTGGCAGGTTTTTTTTTTTTGGTACCAGGGAACGAACTCACGATCTTGTGCTTGCCAGGCAAGCACTTGTGCTGCTGAGCTAAATCCTGGGTCCAGGCAGGTTATTTATTTGTGTACTCTAATGACCAATACACGGCAGACTCTCTGCTTCCACACAGCATGCAGGCACTGAGCATAATCTCTGCAGCTGAGCACAGGGGGAGCAAGTGAGCTAAGAAGCAGGAGATCCCAGATGCTTCCTCTTGGTTGGGAGAAGTGACCAGATGTGGTTAGATCCAGGAAAAGCACAGATGCAGCTACAGCCTGATGTCAGTGAAAACTAAGATGATGAAGAGAACATCAGGAATACTTGGTAACATATCTGTGGGAAAGCATAAGCTGCTGTAAACAATGCTGACTTGAAATGCTAAGGCAAAGATATGGAAATACTCAGCAAACAGGTATAACCCTAACTTTGGAGAGCTAAGAAATGTCAGGAATAACACCTCAGCGGATCTCTGGCATTTAATATTATAAAACACAATGCTTTACACGCTTTACATGTATACAAGTGCTTCTGATGTGTTGGTTTTCACTTTCATTAGGTTCAGATTTTTATTGCAGTTGTTCTTACAAAAGTGGTAACTTGTGGTGTAGGACTGTGTGAGCTCTTCCACGGCGGGAATACAGAGTGAGTAGCTTTGTGGACTGCCTACATAAAGCTGAGCTAGCTGGAGAAACAGGGTGCACCAGATGCGGTGTTCATCTCCTGGACACCCACCCCACCCCTCCACCAGCACACTTCCCATGGGGAACTGGCACATGGCCATGCAGAAACGTCTCCCACCTCCCCAGCAGCAGGGTACAACTGAACTGTGGCCAAGGAGAAGCAGCAGGTCCACCACTAGGAAGCTTTCTACAGGTGTGGGCCCGAGTTTTTCCCTCTTCCGCTAGTGGAATGCAAGTGGGAGGGCAGGTGGAGCTCCCAGAAGCCAGGAGCAACAGGTCACCTGCTTGGGCAGGCACAGCCTGCTGAGGCAGAGGCAGTGTGAACGCTGGCCGCGTGGACACCGCCATGGCAGTCTGCTCACAACCGTGACAGGCAGACATGCACTCTGTCTTCATCACTGTACCAGGTGATCTCTGTCACTAGCAGCAAAATCTAATTATAACTATTACAAAGGTTTGAAAATGAGATTCTACAAGCCAGGGGAGGAGCCAGCAAACTGGAGGAGACACCTGCTCAGTCAAGGACTCATGAGGGCACTCTGAAGCAACAGTCCACGGGCACATGTTCGTGCACTGTGCGTGTGTCTGTGGCTCTCTGTGCGTACTCATATGTCTCCGCGCATGTGGAAGGAGAGGTGGGGAAGCCTTATGGCAGGCATGATAGTCTGTATTTTATATAAACCATCTCTAAATCCTACAACTTCCGTGAAAGGTACTCCTTTCCTTGTCTCCAGAGAAACTAAAGCCCAGGACTCCTCCATGTAAGGTAAACTCAAGCTCTGGTCTGCCTTGGTGTGGAGACAGCACTCAGATCCTTGGTAAAATGTCCACTTGCTGCCACTAACACTGGAGGCCATGACAATCTCATGAGGTTAAAATGACAGCACGTTGATATGGTTACAGAGAGTGAAGTGCCACTACTTCATATCATGAATTTTAAAAGAGCATCTGGAAATACACCCAAAATAATAATACATACAAACGTTATAAAATCACTGTAAGAGGAATCCACAAAAAATGATACTGAAGCCTCCAAAGGAAGTTCTTAGCTAAAACTTCACTCCAATGAGATGAGTGTTTCTTAAAATCTTTAGCTAGGACCAAACAGAGTTATTATAGCAACAACAATCACAACTGATAAGAGAAGGGTATATACCTCAGCAGTCAAGAGTCTATCTGGACATTTGTTAACTGTTGCAAAAACTCTCCTAAGCCCAGCCTCCAGCTGCGTCAGTAACAAGATGGTGCAGTCAGCAAACCTGCAAAATTGAAGGAAAAGCCAGAAAAATTTCATATTTTAAAAATAAAAAAACCACATGGTCATCACAGTGATTATGCTACAGTCCAGATACAAAAAATGTGGTATCAAAAGAAAGGAGTTACACTGCTTACTAACATGAAAACAAACACACTCACAGTTCTGTAAGAGTAGTAAGTTCAAAAGCATTTTCCATTGTTTTAATGTTTGATGAACAATTTTTAGTAGCTTCATTAGAGTAACATATCAAAGATATAACTAACTTGTTCCATTACTTGTGAAATCTACTTAAAACACCAAGATTTCAGTGGGCTCTCAAGGAACAAAAATCACCGTGCCAGGATGAGGTCACCTGAGTGGGAACAAAGGCCAATTCCTTTGTGCCCTGGCTTCTGTATCTCAGGCATGTTTTGCTCTTGCACAAGGCTTGCTCACAAGGGTGGAAGATGACCAAGCTTTCTTGATGGTGTTTCAGGACTCTCTAATTCTGGACTCAGAATTTCTCTTTTAGTAAAAGTTCAAAAGATCTTCTGAAAAGCAAATGTTGAAGTCAGGTACGGTAGAGCAAACCTGAGGTCCCAGCACTCTGGAAGGCTGAGCAGAAGGACTGCAGGTTGGGGCCTAATCTGGGCAGCTTGGTGCTTAGGCCCTGTCTCCAAGCCTAGTCCTATCAAAAACCCAACCGTACCAACAGGACAGCACCTACTGTGTTATTACAAACACAGTAATAAGCTTTTAAGTAATTATAGGAAGGTGTTTTATGTGGTCTATTCTTGACTTAGCCCCAAGTTTCCTTCCATCTTAACAGCAAAGCATAGAACAATCAAGGTATTGAGAAGGCCTGGTTTCTGGCCACCCTGCCAGGCTACCCATCTGTTACCTGCGGGCCTTGAACTTCATCAGTGCAATTTCCCAATACGGTAACATGATTTTTAATATAAAGGTAGATTTCTTCATCACTTCTTCTAATTCTGAAAGTATCTTACATGTAACATCTGCAAAATAAGCAAATACCTTTATAACCCTCACACTACTCAGTGTAACTAGGAAGAAATGCCAGAAGCCACCCCTGCAGGCAGATGAATCCTGACCCCAAAGCAGAGCACTAATCACAGAGGAAGACACAGGATTTATAGACACAGTGCTGAGGTCAGGAAGCTGTTACTGGGGGCACCAACAGCTGCGTTTCCAGAGTGACTCACGTGGTAACAACTCTGAGTGGGGCTCAGAGTCAAGCAGCAGAGCACAGTGACCAAGAGAGAGGTGTTTTCAGAAGACGGAGAAGACCCCTTATACAGGCACTAGAGGCATGACTGGGAATACCATGGACAGCAGGCAGAAGGAGAAAGAACAGTGCGCACCACCAAGGGCCCTAAGGCTTCAGTATGTCACAGCCTAGCTCTACCATGATGAGGGTTCATGCAGGCATGATTGTCCAGTCCCCAGAGCGGTCCCCAAAGGGTCATGTGTAATGAGTTCCTCAAGTGACCTGAAGGCTATCTTACCACTTTAGTCCATTTCTAGAGTTCAAGTCTTGGTGCCACTGACCAGCTTTACAAATGTCTTCACAAAGACATTTAAGGGAGGGGCTGGGGATTTAGCTCAGCGGCATAAGCACCTGCCTTGCAAGCAGGCGGTTGTGAGTTCAATTCCTGGTACCGGGGGGAGGGGGGGACACGGGGGACATTTAAGGGAGGGAACAGGTAGTACTTGCCAGGAAAAACAATTAAATCTTCTAAGTTTGTAAGAGTTACAAAAGATCGATGAGCCAGTATGACTTTAGTTTGCTGACAGTAACTCTCAAGTAACTGACCCAATCCTGCTGTCAACAACAGCATCGCTGAACAGTACCTGGAAGAAAATATCAGACTTCTGTTAGAAGAACGAACAGCCACACACATACAATAGGCTGTCCATTAAGAACGCAACTCACTATCAAATTGCAGAAAATTCTCCATACACAAAGGAATTAAACTACAATGGTTGGGAGGGACGACAATCTGTCAGAAAGTCCTGAGATTTCTACCAGGCCAGCACCTGTGTGCGTGGCTCACTATGTCTTCTCGGTGGCCTTTGAGGTGTACAAACCATTGTCCCCACTGAAACCACTGTCCCCACTCTGGGAAGTCTGCAGTTAGTTAAAACTTGATCTTCAAACTTCTGTCTCACATTCTCTCATTTTTAGCCAGGCATGGTGGCACATGTCTGTAACCCCAGTATTCTGGGAGGCTGAGGCAAGAAGACCACAGGCCTGAGCCCTGCCTATGCATCTTGGTGACTCAGGGAGAACAGTATCTATCAATCAGTCAATCAATACACATACATACATATGTATGTACATGCATAAATGAACAAACCAACCGTCTCTCTCGCTTTTCACAAAATATACCTTTCCCTCTTGTGAAACTGAAGATAAAACAATCTGGTGGGCAGCCCAGTAAAAGAAAATCAGCAGCTTACTTTGGAGGAATCTCTTGGGGCGATGCAAACCCGTGCCACAGGACATTGCGCAGGTTGAGCCCACGGGGGGAGCCGATGAAGACTCTGAGCACATCCATCTAAGCCAGGGAGACAGTGCGTCATGGAATGGTTATGTGAACACTGCACTGCTGAAAAAGCCAGTGCAGTTCTGAAATGATGTTTGCTTTCTCGCCAGGTATGTGGTGCACACCTGTAATCCCAGTACTTGGGAGGCTGGGGCAGGAGGATCCTCACGAGTTTGAGGCCAGCCTGAGATACAAAGTAAGCTCCAGGCCAGCTTGAACTACACAGAGACTCTGTCTCAAAAAGACGAAACAGAAATAAATAGATGAAATAATTTAAAAAACATTTGCTTTCTCCTTTAGAGCTAACAGAGCCAACAGTTTTGGCTGGCATACAGAGTAATAGTAACAAAAGAGAGGCAGTTTGCTGATGACAATTTGTCGTCTTTGTATAGTGAATCTGGTGCTTACTAGTTTGGCCAGCACGGCTTTCTGCATGAGGCTGCCCTGGCTTCCTTGCCAGCCTTCAGCTGCGCACCTCATTCAGCTGCCCATCAGTTACCCACTGGTCTTACGCTTCCAGCCAGTGCGGGGGTGCTGTGGACCTACAATCTTAGCACTCTGGGAGGCTGAGATGCAGGGAATCACTAATGTCAGCCTAGTCTTGGTAACTCAGCAGACCTCATCTCAAAATTTAAAAATCAGCAGTGATGGTAGCTTAATGTGAAGATCCAAATTCAGTCCCCAGTAATGGGAAGGACAAAAGAAGGAAAATCCTGTTCGAGTGCCTGCTAGAAGACTGAGGAAGTATATGGCTATCAGTCCTGTCACATCTAAGATTTTCATGGGAAGCATAAATGGTTGCAAGAAGCCTACATTACCATGTTATAAACATTAATATGTTAGGACAAATCCACGGTATCATTCTTCTAAAGAGTTAAAACTTACTGTATGTCAAATTACTATTACAAACATGTAATGGAGCTAAGCAGTATGGTTAACATTGTCCCTCTGACTGGACCGCAGAGGTTACTCTGTCATGGTCAGGTTAGGGTGGAAGAGGGGGGATTCTGAAAGGGAAGGCAGGAAGGTAACACGGTGGCACCGGCTAATGTCACCAGGTTGCTGCTGCTATTCTGTAAGTTTTAGATGAATGAGCTTACCACAGGCTGCCCAAAGACACGAGCAAGCTCCTCTGATGCAAGTAGATCTCTTAAAAGAAAGGGGCATTCTTTCCCAATCATCAAGAATGCCTGAAATTCAAACAAGAAATATAGAGGAATTACACTGTAACAAGCCAATTAATGGTAAGAACATTATCCACGAAGCAAATGAGAGAAGTACCCAGAAATAAATGGCATAATTTCATAAGCATTGAAAAAATACTGACAACCTACAACAAATTATTGTATTTTATAGGAAAACAGTGATTAACCTCAAGAAATCTAAGGGTAACTGACAGCTTCATCCAAATCACGTAATGAGCTGGTAAGCATGGTCCTCACTCACATCACCCAAAGCTCTCTCTAGACATGAGGTCAGCTTCATCAAGCTCAGAGAAACGGCAGTAGACGGCAGGCTTCCCAAGGCATCAAATACTTCAGGAAATAGCTGCAAGACACACATCAGAACTCTTGGTGTTTCTCAAAATAGCAACATTACTCACTTGAAACCCAAACCTCTAAATATTTCAAGTGCTGCTTTAACTTTTTGTATATTCTTTTAAATTTTAAAGAGAAAAAAGCCAAAACAGAAAAAAGGGTAGTAATAACACAGAATTTCAAAAAAATAAACACTAAGAAATCACTAGTTGATAAATTACATACTGTCATCTTAGACATTGTTGTTCAAGTTACAAAATTTCAAAGCAGACAAACAGTGAGACTGCAAACAGTTCTGCAAACAGATCCATCAAAAACTTAGTAATATGGTTATCTATCTTACATAAACATACATGCAATTATATTCTTTAGAACACTTTCTTTTCCTCTTTTTACAATAGCAATTACACATTTTAGGTTTTATTAGAACACTTTCTTTTCCTCTTTTTACAATAGCAATTACACATTTTAGGTTTTATTACTCCCACAGTTCTTCTTACTTTTTACACTAGAGACACAATGTGATATTTATAAATATGATCTTATTTCACTTATGAGGATTTTTTGTATATTTTAATTCTACTATTACAAGCTCTAAAAATCATTAAAAACATTTTAATATCTACGAAGTTCTTTGAAAATTCCTTATTTAAATGCATATGATTAAATTCTGGCATAATAGTGACTGAAAAGTCAAATACCTACATCTTATTTTCCATTATGGTTTAGGATGGCTCTTAATGCTACATAAAAACAAGGCAGCTCATCCTACATATAAGAGCTATTACAAATACAGCATGCTGATCTGGTGGCACACACCCTGTAATCCCAAGACTCTGGGAGGCTGAAGCAAGAAGATCACAAATTCAAGTCCAGCCTGGGCAATTTACTGAGAACTTGCCTCAAAACAAACAAAAAAAGGTTTGAGGACGTAGCTCTGTGCAAAACAAAACAAAACAGAAAAGCAGAAAGAAAAAGAATTCTATGGTTTAAATCTAAAATACCCTCTTCTATAAGCTCATCAGCTTAAAAGTATGCTTATCAGTCTGTGGTGCTGCTGGAAGGTGGCTCACTCTTTAGCAGCAAAGGTCTGGAGGAAGGGAGGTCACGCCCTTGAAGGGGGTACTGAGATCTAGGCCCTCCTCCTTCTGTGCCTCTTAGCCACCACAAGGCAAGCAGAGTTCCTCTGCTGTGAGCTTCCATCCTGAGGCTCTGCATGACCACAGGCCCAAAACCAACAGGGCCAAGACCATGAGCTGAATTCTCTGACACCAGCAACCAAAAGAAATATTTCCTCTTTATAAGTTAACTCAGGTATTTTATTACAGTGAGAAAAAGGTACCAGAGAAGCAATGACCCTTCTTCTTTAAACTTGGAAATTCAATTTATTCAGAATGAGACTTTTATAAATTATGCTTTATTGTGGTCACTTCACAGGTGATATGAAGTGGGAAAAAGATTAATAGCAAAATAACCAAAACAAGGATTTGGAGTGGGCCCCAAACCACCTGTCCTTCCTTTAACTGACTCTTCAAATGCTACGCATCCTCACCTCTGGTCGGTCTCCTAAGAACAACTTACCATCTCACCCACAGGGCTTGCCTGGACTTGGGAATACTCATGATCTGTCCCAGAATGTGCATCCTTGCAACAAGCACTATCTCTGCAACTCCTAAACCTATGAATCTAAAAGTTGCCTTTGTTTGAAGGGTGTGTTCCTCAGCTCAGGCTTTGGAAACCCTGCACAGTAACATGTTTCTCACAGCCTCTTAAGGCTTCTGCAGAGAGGGCCCAGCGATGGAGACCTGAACTCTTTACAACTGGCAAGTAATGTGTCTCTGAGTGAATTTGCAGTCTTTTATCTTTGAGGGTTTTCAAAAGTCAAACCTCTGGAAAACTTGTCCACCGGAACCATGACGCATACTGAGTTTCAAACTGCCCCTTGGTGAGGGATAAGAAATGCAGATGGATGGCATCACACACCGGGCCCAGCCGCTTCACGCTTTCCCAGTAATTGATATTCTGGTCTTAAGAAATGAGAAAACAAGTATTACAATAAAACAGCTCCATATCACACCGAAAGTATCAGAAGCATCAAAGAAAAAAGAACTTTAATTATCAAACTTCCATAAAATCAAACATCAGCTGGCATCTGATAAACACACATCACTGGAGATAAGTTACATGATGTCAATCTTACTATAAAAGAAAAATAATCAGCACACTTTGTAAAACACTCAAACAGGACAAAATATTTTATTCAATGTCATTAGTTGCACATAAATTCACATGAAATCAGACTCACACTGTATACCAGTCTCCTCTTGTTTGAACTTTCAGTTATACAGGCAACAGCAGCACAAATATACCAACTGGAAGTTTTACAAATAATCCATCTGCCTGAAACTCCGTGCTGTTCTAAGTAGCACGATGAAATTTCACAGTCACACTGGCCCCTCTGTTTGGTGCATCCACATTGTAAACTCTACTCAGCCATCAGTCATTTAACAGCCATCTCCCCAGAGCAACTACCACACAGAAGCACAGAGCACGTGTTCAAGTAATTCTCACTAAACTGTGGCTCCAAACTACAGGAATTAGTTGCAAAGGAAGCACCAGGGCATAAAACATGCAAAGACAGATGTGGTACTACTGTGCAACCACATGGCAACACTGCAGAGCACACAGGGAAAAAACAGTGCCTACTCGTTCAGTGACATGTATTATCTTGGCACGCACTGACATGGATGCCATTGAAAGCTCCCAGGATAAAGGGGAATTACTGTACCTAACACTGTAACTTTTTTTTTCTGTCTTTTTCATTTTTATCGGTACCAGGGATCAAACTCTCGACTGCCTGCTTGCAAGGCAGGCGCTTATGCCGCTGAGCTAAATCCCCAGCCCCTCACTGTAACTATTTTTAACATCATGATTAGACCATGGGACTTCTAATGGCAGTGGATTATTTGTGAAAATATTTATACCACATATTTTTTGTTTTTATTGTTTTGGTAAGTTTGGGGTTGCACATCGTATTGTTCATGATGAAAAACACAAAGGAGTGAAAATATCCCCATTTACTCCCCCCAACTCTATAACTGACATTATTAATTTTCTGTGTATATTTACAAATGTTTATACACATACAAGAAAGTGTATCTATGCACTTCTATTTTTCTTCACTGGGAAAAATTCCCATCAGATGAGCTTCTTCATTGCTTTTTATTGTTGCCCAAGGCTCCACTGTGTGTATTTATCATAACTTACTGAATCAGTACCCTAATGCTTGAAGTTTGGCTGTTTTTCAGGTTACTGGACTGCTTAGCCAAACCAAACAATGCTGCTAACAATAACCTTACACTCACACCTTCATATCTGCAAGCATGTCTGATTAATTCTTGGAATTCGTGAGCCACAGAAATTTTCTTTACAGTTGTTAAAACTATTACTAAGTTTACCCAACCATATCTCTTTCCCAAAAAAGTAAAATACTTGAAGACATTTAAAATGGTCGAGTGGGCTGGAGACTTAGCTCCGTGGCATAACCACCTGCCTGGGAAGCACAAGGTCATGAGTTTGATTTTTTAAAAAATGGTCACGTAATCATCTCGTACTCAGAATTCACATGACTTCTGCAGACACTGTCTCAGAGCTCTAAGAGCAACCGTTATAGTTTTCCCTGCCCAGTATCCCTTGAATTTTCTTGTTTCTTTGGCCTCAACTCTCTTTTCACACTGATTTCTTTTTTCCTTTTGGTTAGGCTTGCATTAAATGGTAACAAAAACAAAGCAATAGTTAGAAAGCAGGCTTTTACAGGTGAAGGTATTTTCAAGAGATCACACTTAGGATACATAACAGTACAAACCTGAATCTGCATAGCTCACACAGTTAGTGATTGTTTTCCAACAGACTTCACCATTTTGAGCCACAATGTTACTGATATTACAAGTTTCTTTGCATTCAAACCCAAGTGTACAAATCATGTCATATACGAAGGGAGAAAGACATGTGGTAATGGGGTCCCCTATTAGAATCTGAAATATAAAACATAAAAGGCAGTTTACTGGAAAGAATATTAATTATTGTATATCCAAATCACCAAGACAATTATATCTTAACATAGAATGTACTGCTGTGTGACTGCTGTTAGGTTTTCTGGATAACATAGCAGCTGTATGAGTAAAGCATTGCACTTACTAAAGACAATTTATGTGCTTTAAAGCAAATGTTATGCCTTCAAAATCATTTTATCAAACTTGTTAATACAGAAGTTCACAGATGCACAGTGAGTTTCATGAATATTGCATTATTCCTTTTGGTGTCCCTTTACTACCCCAGTTATCAAAGCAAACATTCTTACAGCGTGAGAATGCAGAAACAGCCTAATACGGCTGCCCAATGTTAACGGCACTGCGGCATCCTACCCCACACACACCATGCTTCAAGCCACGCATAACAGTTTACTGAGTGGCTTCCATTCTGAGCTCCACCACCTTCAGCTTGGGGGAGTGACTACTGCCAACACACATTTCTCTACGCTGGCTCTAGGTGTGTGACAACACGCGTGTGTCCAAATGAAGCGGAACGTGGCCACCTGCGCCACGTGCCCCGCCCGAGCACCTGCCCGAACAGCACGGGAGCCTGGCCCTCTCGCCGCGCATCTGCGCGCCGCGGTCTCCGCTGCGACACTGACACGACTGTGAGGCCAAGGTTCGTCAGGGCTCTCGGCAAGCTGCTAGGTCCCAGCGCGGCTGTCCCCATCCCTGACCACCGACGTCCGATAAGGAAAAGCAGCAGTGCCCTGGCGTGGGGCAGCCTCGGCTCCACAGTGCACTGGTCAGCGAGCCCTGCATTTACACTGGCCAGAGCAACCTATGCGGGTGACAGCGGTTCTGCAAAGCCTGGGTCTCCCGTTCGGAGAAACCTCAGGACACGCCCCCTCGGAACCAGCCCGCGACATCAGTCAACAGAGCATCGCCTCCCTTCTTCTTGCAGTTCCCACAAGCCCTACCTCCATCACATCCGGGTTCGGGTGGCGAAGTAGGCGAGTGACGTCACCTCCCCGGCCCGCCCCCTTGGAGCCGCCCACAACGTACGCGCCACTTCCGGTTGTGCTCTGACTACGGCGTCACTTCCGGCGGTGCGCGTCATGGCCGCCGCATTATAGGTTTAGCCGAAGATTTATGAGGTGTTTGGCCGTGGACAGAAAGTAGTCTTAGCGGCTTACTGCTAAGCCGAACGAGATGGACAAGCGAGGCCGAGGCCAGAAACCGGCCACGACCCAGGCCCTTCAGCCGCAGCCGCAGTCAGTGGGGTTTAAGAAAGAGAGGAGGCCTAGCATGTTCGAGAAGGAGTCAGTGAGTGCGAGATGTTCATAGAACCCTGTTCGGTCGTCTGCTCACCCGCAGAGCACCGGAGGGCAGACTTCTCTTGGTTTTGCGTCCATCTGCGAAACTAAATTCTGAGCATTGGTTTAAGTTCCCCTTTAGACGTGTCTAAGGGTTTTAAGTTCATAAAACTGCGTTAAATAACTGAAAATTAATTTTACGTGATCCTCTTCATCTCTTCAGGCTCGTAGTTTTATACAGTAATCTAATGTAGCGTCAGTTTTACCAATCAAAAGTGAGTGTGTGTATACAGTATATGTACAAGAAAACTGGGAAGCCACATAGCACACTAAGCTGTTTGGAGCTTTTAAACATCAGCTGTTATCTTAGTTTAAGAATATATACAGGAGGGCTGGGGGCTTAGCTCAGTGGCACAAGCGCCTGTCTGCCCCCCCCCCAATTATATATATGTATATATGCGGGAGAAAACGGTTGAAAGTATTGTTAACTTGTCTAATATTAACAGAAACAGCCATTCAGTGTTAGTGTTAGAACATCAATATTGGTACCTGATGATACTTGGAGAAGCTTTAATGTAGTCGACTTCCATCTTTTATTGAAACTATGAAAAGTAGTTTTCACAGAATACGTAATGATAGAGCTGAAATGAAAACCCGTGTTGTGAGACTCCGGTCCCACTTTCATGTAGTGAATTCTTTTCATGCCTGTTTCGTAAGATTTACGGTTGGTAAAATAATAGAAACAGGCAAAACACAGATATGTGGAGATGTAAGAAAATCATAAACATTCATGGCACTGTCACAGTTTCTAATATCTCTTTGGTGTCTATATTTTATAGAGGAACAGACTAATGGGTGATAAGTAAATAGGCCAGTTAACACACCTAAGTAAAAGCAGAAACAAGACTAGAAACAAGTCACGGATTTCAAGCTAGAGGTTCATAAACAATGCTGTAGTGAAGTCTGCTGTCTTGCAAATCACCAGAAAAAAATTTTTTTCTTTGTGGTAGCAAAGATCACTTCAGTAAATTTGACTGCCAATGAATGGCTGAAATGAATTTGAAAGCTGAGTAAACCTGAATTCAATATGAGAAGACACATAGCTGCACTTGGTATATATACCAAAATCTGGGAATAAAGGCACGTGGGCCACAGCAGTTTAATGAGTGTGACCAGTCATAACTATCTTTAAGTCATAACCTTCCAATGTACTTTTCTTAGAATCAGTTACTGTGACAAATCAAACGATCACAAAACTTTAAACAGATTACTAAAAATTGGAAACTTACCAGCCTTGCTATCATACACATTTGAAAACTTCAAATTTGAGCAAAGGGCCAGGGAGATGGCTCAGTGGCACAGTGTCTGCCTGGCAAGCATGAGATCGTGAGTTGGATTCCCAGTACCAAATAAATAAATAAATACATGAATGTATGTGAGCAAAAAATACTTAAGTGAACATTAAAATAATGGCATCTCGAGCAATCTCATTTCATTGTAAGACCAAAAATAAGTTTACTGTAAGGAAATGCCACATCAGCAAGTTAAATAATTCACTTCAACTTGTGTTACTAGATGCTTAAAAGTAGATGTGTGAAAGCTATTTCTAATTTATAAAATGATTACAGAGATTCTCTGTAGAGGAATAAAATACCCTTGATGAGTTTACTGAACCAGATACATAAAGAAATGGTAGTGATGTAATTTTGAGACTAATTGGTTCACTAAGGGTTACTTTGGGGCTGAAGTGGGTTTAAATTTATCAGCCAAACTGATAAATTTAAAATTTTATTAACTGAGCTCAGCAACTACCCGTAGACCCCTGTTTCAGAGTCCAAACAAGTGGTGCTGAACTGGAAAGTTACAGAGTTTTTAAAACAGAAAACCACAAAAAACATCCCGTTAGAAACAATTTAGCTAGAATCTTACATTAATTTTTAGTTGACACCTGTATCCTGCTTCTTTGTTGAGCAGGTTAATTTTTCTCTTGTGGGTGGCGCTCATTCTGCTTTTCTTGTGGGACTTGTACCCTGAGTAATTTTTCACTCTTCTGGGTCAAATAAAGGGCACAAGATGACAAGTTACGCCAAGCTACAATAGGGGCTACCGGTGTGTGCTACTTCCCTATGATATAGAAACTTAGGTTGGAGAGTGGATCTGAGGAGATTTCTGTGAGCTACACTCCTATAGCTTGCGGTAACCTACTGTGCTAGTAATTAAGTCCCTGAAGGAAGAGAGGACAAGAAATAATGGATGAAATTTCTATATATGATGAAAATAACCGATGAATCATAGAATGCCAGTGAATGCTAAGCACAAGAAATAAAGAAAATTAAGTCAAAATTACTTGAAACAAGTCATTAAAAAATGTAAAGGCAACTAGGGAAAATAAGCTATATAAAGAAAAAGCAACAGCAGCCTTATCAGAAACTGCAATCCAGAAAACATTGAAATGTCATCTTTAAGTCCTAAAATAAACTAGCCAAACCTAGAATTTTATACTCAGCCAAAAACCTTTCAAAAACAAATTTCTCATTTTCAGTTCTTGGTATAAGGAGTTTGGGAATCATTACTGTATCATAATAAGAAGCCAAGCAGATTAAAAAAATGAACTCTATAGTTTACTTTGTCCAACGCCAGCAGATTACTCATTCTGAAGCTCACATGGCACCACATTCTGGGCCATAAGATGCACCTTTAACAAACTAAAAATAGAAATACAATTTGTACTCTCAAATCACAGGATTCAATGCAAAATCAGTAACAAAATCAACCTGTTTACTAATTGTATGGAGATTGAACAAAACACTTTTAAAGAACACATGGATCAAAGAAAAAAATTAGCAAATATTTCAAACTAAATGAAAATAACATGTATAAGATTGTAGGATGACTCAAAAGCAGTTCTTGGAAACTTAACTGCATTGAATGCAGGCAAAATTAGAAAAGACATTATTTAAGCTGCGTTTCTAAGAAATAGAAAAAAATAAATGTTAAGCAAGCAAATGAAAAATATATCAGAAATGAATGAAATTGTGAAAATAGGACATTAGTAGATAAAATCAATAAGATAAGTGGTTTTAAAAAAAGATCAGTAACAGTCCCTGGATAGGCTAATACAGAACAAATAGAGTAGGAATGGTTAATAATCCAATGCAATTGAAGGTATCACTACAGGTTCCATGAACATCAAAAGGATCCTGATAGTATAAACAGTTCTATTCACACACATTTTATTACCTAGAAAATGGGGCTAATTTAGGAGTTGAAGTGATACTTGATAATCTTCCCAAAGAGAAAACACCAGACCCTAGTGGGTTCACTGGTGAATTCTACCAGATATTTAGGGAAGAAATTGAACCAAGTTTCTACAATCACTTGCAAAAGGTAGAACCACAGGGAGTGTTTTCTAACTCATTCCATGAGGTCAGCATTACTCTGATACCAAAATCAAAGAAACTACAAGAAAACTTACAAAACAACATTTCTTACGAGTAGTGATGCAAAAATCCTCAACAAAACACCAGCATTCAGCATTCCATTCAAAGGACAATGGACCATGGTCAAATGGTATTTATTCCTGGAATGTGAGAATGATTCAACATGTGACAAAAGATCAGTGCAGTATACAACATATGCATAGTGAAGCAATAAATTGTGTGATCATCTTTACTGATAAGCATTTGACTTTTTTAAAGACAAAAGATAATAAAAATAATAGATTGTGTACTGTTAACTTCAAAGTAGTACTCAGTACAACATACAGGCATGAAATGTCCAAGTGATACTAGCACAAGCCTTTCTTTTCAATGAACTAAGAGAAACTAGCAGTATAATTATTTTAACATATATATATATATATATATATATATATATATTCCCTTCCTTTCCCCATCACAATTTCTCTTTCTTTTTGAATAGTTTCTTCCCTATTCACAATATCTAGTGTACATTTTGGATCTTACTTGTTCAGATCCTCATACTAGTGAGAAAATATGTTTTCACATGTGAGTCTGATTTATTTCTTAAAAGTATGATCTCAATTGTAAGCATAACCATTTACCATAAAAGTCTCAAGTGTATCCTTTTTTATGATTGAATAGTGCTCCATTGTATAAAAAGACCACATCTTGAAGACATAGGTAGAGACTTCATGAACAAAACCTAGACCACATGGCAAATACTACAAAGAATCAACAAATGAAGCTCACTAAAAACCTTTGCATAACAAAATAAATCATCAACAGAGTGAAAAGGTAACCTACAGGAGTGGGAAAAAATTGTAGCCAGTTGTTCCTCAAAGGACTTAGATCTTAGAACATTAAATAATTGGGGCTGGGGATTTAGCTAAGCCGCATAAGCGCCTGCCTTGCAAGCGCATGGTCATGAATTTGATCCCCGGTACTGGTGGTAAAAAGAAAAGAAAAAAGACCCCCCCCCCAAAAAAAAGACAAAATAAAAGAACATATAAAGAATTGAAAAAAGATCAGGTCTCCCAAATTGTTAATTTTTTTTTTTATCGGTACCAGGGATCAAACTCATGACGCTTGCTTGCAAGGCAGGTGCTTATGCTGCTGAACTAAATCACCAACCCTTTTTCTTGTTAATTTTTTTTTTAGGTCTCCCAAATTGAAACACTCAATCAAAAAAGTGGCATCTCAGATGAATATACACCTCTCAGACGAAGAAACATAAATGCCAAGTAAACATAGGAAAACCTGTTCAACTTCATTGGTTAACTGAGAGATGCAAATTAAAACAATGCTGAGGTTTCATCTTACTCCAGACAGAATGTCTATCATAACGAAATCAGTAACAAATGCTAGAGGGACTGTGGGGGAAAAGGAACCCTTTTCTACTGTTGGTAGCAGTTTAAACTGGTGCAAGCACTGTGGAAATCAGTGTAGAGAATCCTAGAAAGAAAAAAAAAAAAGAGGTTCCATTCAACCTAGCTTTTCCTCTTCTGGGTATCTTACCAAAAGAATTAAAAACATTTTACTAGGGGCTGGGGATTTAGCTCAGCAGCATAAGCACCTGTCTTGCAAGCCTGTGGTCGTGAGTTCATCCCTGGTACCAGTAAAAATACAAAATACAAAAATAAAAAACAAAAAACATTTTACTACTATAATAATACATGTGCATCCATGTTTATAGTAGCACAATTTGTAATCACCAAGTCTTGGAAACAACCCAAATGCTCATCAACTGAGGAATGGATAAAAAGGACAAAATTCTTTTTGTCAAATGCTTTTTCTTTCATGAAACATTCTTTTATGATTTTAAAAAGGAAACAAAGACACTGCCACAACATACTAAAAATCATATATTAAAAAAACAAATAGCAAATATTCTTAGTGGTGAAAGACTGAAAGTGTTTAAGAGACAAAGATTTCAATTTTTACCATTCTTATTCAACATTGAACTGGTAATTCTTGTTAAGCAGTTAGCTAAGAAAAAGGAATTCCTGGCTATTATGAAAATGAGGGTCGGGGCTGGGGATTTAGCTCAGCGGCATAAGCGCCTGCCTTGCAAGCAGGCAGTCGTGAGTTCGATCCCCGGTAACGATAAAAATGAAAAAGACAAAAAAAAAAAAAAAAAAAAAGAAAAGAAAATGAGGGTCAACACTTTAACATAAGGTTAGATTACTTACTTGGAACATATTAGGTTATAAATAAATGTTTCCGTAAAAAAAATAAACATTTCCTTAATGTATGTTGGATGTCACATAATCGATATTGCATGCCAAAAATATGGACTAGCGTATATATCAAATCAGTACATTTTTGTTGTCAACTTAAGACTTACGAATTTGTTACCCAAATAAAAGTATTATTTATTCAAACATAAGTTTAGAGACAGGGTTGATAATATTGTGTAAGGAGCATTCAGTTGCCCTTTTTGGAGACTAGTCTTGTTTTTAGTTCCTTTGGATGTTCTGTGAATATTCTAATTATATATATGTACAAATCTGCATATATGTTTGTGTGTGTAAATAAAATTTCTTTTCCCAATTTGATATGAGTAAATGTAGGATTTAGTGACTACATTTTCATAGAAGTCTGTTAGATTTTCAAGCTTTGTGTCTGTGTTGCTCCACCATATCAGGATACTTTAATCTGAAATTACCTTTTACAATTTGAAAAGTGACCTATCTCTATCTCTCCCTCTCCCTTTCTCCCTTCTGCTTCTCCTGTCCCTCACTGTCCTACTCTCCTTTTCACCAGTATGCACAGATCTTAAGAGAAAGACTAAGAGAGTCAATTCATGATGTTCAGTATGTAGAACCTCCGTTTGATGACTCAATTGCTGACATAGGTAAAGAATGGAAGAGTGCCCTGTCAAAATTAAAGTTTGCTAATTCATATAGAATGGAACCTCTGAAGAAATTTCAAGCTCATTCAGTAGAAACTAAAGTCCAGCAGATATTAAAGGTAGGTTGTTGGCTGAAGACGTAATACATATATTTCCAATATTATAATACAAGTTTCCAGAAAAACAGGAAGGGTGTGTGTGTGTGTGTATGCGTTCATGCACACGATCACATGTGAAATTTGTTATATGAATTGACTTATGCAATTACAGGGATCAAGAGTTACTATGATCTGCTGTATGTAACCTAGAGAACTAGGAAAGTGGTTGTGTATTTCAGTCTGAATCCAAAGCCTGAGAACCAGGCAAGCTACTTGTGTAAGTCCCAGTGCAAGACCAGAAACCCAAGAACTGGGAGCACTAATGTTCAAGTGCATGAGATGGATATCCTAGCTTCATCAGAAAGTAAAATTCTCCCTTCCTCCTCCTCTTTATCCTATTCAGGGATTCAACAGATTGGATGATGTCTACCCACATTGATAAGGGTGATCTTTACTAAGCTGATTGATTCATATGTTTCTTATCCCTTCTAAAATCAACCTTACAAACACAGCTAGACATAATATTTTACCAGCTCTTTGGACTTAGCCCAGTCAAGGAGACACATAAGAACAATTATTGTAAGTCATAGTCTACTGGGTACCTATGCTAATCTCCTTAAAGTAAATTATATAAACAAAAACATAAGTAGGTCAAAAGTCATTTAAGATATAACCAATTTGTATATAAATGCACAAATCCCTTCCCCTGAAAAGGAGGTAAAATCTTTGAGTGATATTTGTCTCTTGAAAACTTACAAACTTAAGTACTGTGATGTAAAATTAGCAATACTTTAATACTGCTAAAAGTGAGTAAATTTTTGTTACATTTATGGGAATGGAAGAGGAAAGAAAACAAATATATTTGCTTACCATAGGTATACAGTGATGGTTAATCTTGCTTTTCAGCCTAATTGATTGAGAAATTATTAAAGCGCACTTCAACATGGGAACTACATCTGGTTCCTGGACACTGTGCCTGTGCTGTGTTTCACAACTGCCATGATATGAGCCGCTTTGCTACCTGTGCCTTTTTGCCATGATGTTCTGCCTTTCCTCACACCCACAGCAATAGAGCTAGCCAACCATGATCTGAAAGTGTGATCCATTTCCTCTTTTAAATTGTGAAATTCAGGTACTTACTTTGTCCCAGAAATGGGAAAGCTGTTCAGCGGGTGTGCATATACACACATGCATGTGCTTGTGCCCTTGCCTGCATGCATACACATACACAAGAAATACTCATGACTATTACAGGTTTTTATGGAATTGTTTCTATGGTTGTAGTCAATATTTATAAATACCTTCTAGTACCACTTTTTATTGCCTTTGCCTTAATCAAGCACCTTAGCTGGTCATATTTCTTTACCTAATAGGTAACCCAAATGTTCATTTTTGAAGAGTGTAGGCCACATTGGGTTTTTGTAGCTTTTTATCAACATTTATCATAGGGATATATGTGTGTACATGTGTGTGTGTGTGTGTGTGTGTGTAATTTTTTTTTTTACCAGGGATTGAACTCACAACCTCACACTTGCCAGGCAAGCACTTGTGCCATAGAGCTAAATGCCTGGCCCAGGATATAATAATATTAAGAGACAGACTAAAGGGTCTCCTACATTTCAAATAGACTCTTCGTTTCCTCCATTGCAGAGGAGGTCAGTTTTCCCAGATATGTAAGATTGGTCATATCAATACCGTAACTCCTTGCTTTTCTTCTTGATTCAGAAGCATAAAAAGCCAAGAGTCCATGTAGCAATCATAACTTTGAACATTCAGTGGGATTGTGTTTATCTCTCATGGTAAAAGTATTCCTTCTTCCAGAACTAAGACCTTTATACTACAGGAACATGATGTTTTGGGTACAAGAAACAAAAGTTTTACTACCACAGTACACGATGGGCAGTTTGCATAATTTGTTGTTCCATGGTCAAGCGTTCAGTCTTTCCAAATGACCAGCATCTTGCCAAAGAAAGTAGTTTACAGATAACAGCAAGGACTTGCTCCAAAATTTGAAAGCCTTGGGTCTGAGTGAATCAAAGTATCACACACAAATGAGTGGTAAATTAGCTTCGAAGTCCACAGAGATTCTATGTTGGTTATTTTTCTCTCAGTGCTGAGACAAAATATCCAACACCCAAAGTTAAAGGAAAAAAGGTTTATTTAGCTCAGTTTGTACAGGTTTCAGCTCATAGATGACTGGCTACAAATTAGGATGGCATGGCAGAGGGGCATTGCAGAGGAGAAACAACTCACAGGGAGAAGGCAGGAAAGCAGCAAAGCCAAAATGTAGCAAAGAAGCAAGCAGCAAGTAATAAGCTACAACCCTTTCTGGCCATTATATCGTATCAAGGCTACTCACTGTTACGGCAGGTAGCACTCATACCCATAGTGGAACAGTCTTAATCCTAGCATCCTTCTATGAATCAATCCCAAAATTATACCCTCGATCCCAGCATCACACACCCTAGATCCACCACCTCTAAAAAGCTCCACCTATGAGTACAAGAGGCTTTGGAGACATCTAGATACAAACCATAACACGCCTACTAGGGATTATGCTTAATTTTTGGTTGTAGGGGCTGTCAGATGCAACAAGTTATCCTTAGCCTTAGAAAGAATATCTCAACGTGTCCCATACCATTGGATGACTAAAAATATCACTGAAGTAGAATGTCTTCAAACTTTATTTTACAATTATTCAGTTGGTTTTACTTTTAATAAACAGTAAAGAATTAGAATTTGACCTTTCCATACAAATACAATAATAGAAATAATCCCCAACAATTTATGGAAATAACCATGAAAATAACAATTACTGAGTGATAAACTATAACAGTGGGATGCTCTCTAACATAGAACATTAGAAAAACATTTCTGTGCAAATATTACAGAGTTGATTAATCATAATTACATAATTTGGTATCTTCAGTATCTTAAGTATTTCAGTACTTAGTCAATCCTTTTTTTCTGATTTTTATTTGTGCATGTTTGAGGCACATAATGGGAAGTTGGTATATGTACATAATACATCTCAATTCCTTATCATCCCTCTTTTATTGCGTAGTTTTTCTATTATTGATTCAATTTCATTTACTGTTGTGTTATTCATGGTTTTAAAATTTTGTTGGTTCAATTTTGGTAGTCCAGATACCTTGGGATTCATCCATTTCTTCCATATTCTCTGATTTACTGAAGTACAATTTTTCAGCAATGTCTGTTGTGATCTCGCTTTCTTCATTTCTAAGTGGATTAATCTGTATCATTTCTTTCTCTTTTTTTTTTGTTAAGAATGGCTAAGGGTCTATGTTGTTCATTCTTTCAAAGGACCAGCTCTTGGATTCATTAATTCTTTGCATTTTTTAGTTTCCATTTCATTACTTTCTGCTATGATCTTTAAAATTATAGTTCTTATACTAGCTATGGGTTTACATTGTTGTTGTTTTTCTGGGATACTGAAGTGCATCATTAGGTTATGTATTTGGATTTACTTGGTTTTTCTGTTGTGGCCTTTCACAACTGTAAACTTCTGTCTCATGACTGCTTTTTTTGTATCCAATAAATTATCATATGTTGTACAGGCATTGTGGTTTGATTCTAGGAATTGTTCTTCTTCCTTGATTTCTTCTGTAATACATTGAATATTCAGAAGTGTATTGTTTGTTTGTTTGTTTGTTTTGTACCAGGATCAAACTCACAACCTTGCATTTACCAGGCAAGCGCTTGAGCCACTGAGCTAAATCTCCAGCCCAGGAGTATATTGTTTAATCTGTATGTGTTTGCAATATTTCTGTACTTTTTTCTTGATTTCTAGTTTTGTTGAAGTATAATCTGGCAATATGCATGGAAAGTGTTTCTTTTAAATATATTTAAGCTTGCTTTATAACTAGTATGTGGTCTATTTTAGAGAAAATTTCATGTGTTTGTGAGAAGAATATGTTTTTCTGTTGTTGGGTGGTACTGTGTAGATATCTATTAAATTTGTTAGAAGGTTTGGCTAATCTGTTGATTTATTTATCTAGTGTTGTCTATTGTGATTGTGGTATATTAATGTCTCCCTTATAAGCATATTGATGTTTACCTCATCTTTTATGTTCAGTAGTATTTGTTTTATGAAGTTGGGTGTGCTGGTGTTTGGTGTATGTATTTTTACAACTGTTATCTCTTTCTGAGGAATTGTTCCCTTAACCAACATGTAGCATCCTTCTTAGCCTCTTCTGTCATTTTTGGCTTAAAGATTACATTGTCTGAAAGTAGCTATTTCTGCTTGTATTTGGGTTCTTGTTGCATGGGCTATTGTTTCCCATATCTTGATTTTTAGTCTATGAATTTCTTTTTGAATTAAATGTGTTTCTTGTATACAGCATACCACTGGATTTTGTTTCTTGATCTATTCTGCTAATATGTTTTTCCCCCATTGGAGAATTGAAACCATTCACACATTGAGCGTTATTACTGAAAGGTTTTGACTTGTTTATATCATTACATTATTATTCTGGTCCTGATTTTTTCCCATTCTTGATCTTCTTGGTGTATTCATTCTATTAGACTTTTTGCCAAAGGAGGTTTCACTGTCTCTTCCTAAGAGGTCCTTGAGGGTTTTGTAGTGGTGTAGTGGAGATTTGGTGGTCATCAATTTCTAAGGTGGTCTTTGTTGTAGAAAGACCTTAAGGATCCATTCATTTTGAGAGATAGTCATATAGGATATATCACTCTAAATTGGATGTTGTTTTTTTTTAATGTTTCAAACAGTGCACTTCAAGCTCTCTGGCATTTAAGGTTTGTGTTGAAAAGTCTGCTGTAATTCTAATTGATTTATTTTTATAAGCTATTCTTTGCATTTTTTCTAAAAGTTTTAAAGATTTGGTCCTTTTGTCAGATTTCTTGGATTTTGACTATGATGTTTATGAAAGTGTTCTTTTCTGATTGTAGTTATTTGGGATCCTGTATGACTTACTTTTATGTTTATTTCTTTCCCTATATTTGGAGTTTTCTGCTATTACTTATGTAAACTGGTTTTTATGCCATGTGTGTGGTTTTCTGATTTTTCATTAATTCCAATTAGTTGGGCTCTTCCTTATGTCATTTAGCAGCATTGGATCAATTTTACATGTTCTCCTCTGGTATTTCTGAACACTGGTCTCCAACCTATATTCTTCTGACTCTCTGTCCTCACATTAGTAGCTTCTTCTGACTATAGTTTTAGTCTCATCAATTTTATATTTAGTGTCTTTTCACAGACTCTTAATTCTTTGCTAAACTGGTATTGTATGTTTTCTATAGCTTTTACTACTGTCTTCTGTAGACTTACTATTTCACTTATTAAATCCTTGAGCCATTTAGTTTTATCTTCTATAAGCCTACCAAGCACCTTATTGATCTGTTTTTATATCGCCTCGGTTATGCTTTCAAATAGTTGTGTTGTGTGGCTTTTGATTTTCTCCCCCTCAATGCCCCATAGATCATCTTTGGGAGAGTTGGGGAGTTTTTGGTGACGTTTTGTTGCCTTGTTTTCTCATGTTTCTCTTGTTTTTGATTTGGTGTGTGTGTGTGTGTTTCTGCTAAAGTTTATGAGTTTGCTTATAATAGAAGACTTCATTGTTAATATGGAGGCTTCTTCAGTGACCTCTTTATGTTCTCTGGGGATAGCTAACTACAGGCATTCGCCCATGTCTCAGGATCCAACTACCTCCATTTATTTGCAAGGGACCCTGAAGTATATTTGGTGCAGCAACCAGCTCTCTCGGAATGCACTGAAGTATTATTAATGACACAGAGGCAATCCAGACATAGGCATATGGGAAGAGAAAATAATAACTCAACTATGTCAACTTGACAATAACAATACAATTGGCAACAGTTACAGCATTAAAGACAAAATTGATATTGAAATATCCTATGAACCACTACTCTACTATCCTTAACCATAGAATAGAACTATAATTGTAGTATAACCAGTAAAATAAACCAAATATTGATATACAGTAAATATGCACTAAGCCAACAATTATACCCTACTAACAATACAACAGTATTCAAAAGTAATAGCAGAGTTACTAAATTTTCATAAAGCTTAATGGTTATACTGGAATGATAATGGGTGTGAGGAACTGGAGTATAAACAAGTAGGACTGGAAAACTTAACCAGTGGAATATTGAAAGGATAGAAAAATGAGATAAGGATATATTCCACTGAGTAAAAGGAAGTTAATAATATTAGACAAGGGGCTGGGGATTTAGCTCAGTGGCATAAGCGCCTGCCTTGCAAGCAGGCAGTCGTGAGTTCGATCCCTGGTACCGATAAAAATGAAAAAGACAAAAAAAAATTAATAATAATAATATTAGACAAATGTAATAGAAAAGATCAAAAAAGAGAAAAAATAAAATACAGAGAATAAAATAAAGAGAAAGTAACACAAAGAGTTCAGAGGAGGAAAGAAATTTAAAAAAAAGAAAAAAGAACTTTAAACCCTAAAAAAGTCAATGCTAGAAAAACAACAACAAAAGGAAAGTCAAAAAAATTACTGTATATTCTTGAATGAGTAGTTTCTTTCTAGGATCTGCAGTCTTGTGATACAGCAAGTCATAAACATTTTCCTGATAGCCTTTCGTCTCTTGGTTTATGATGTGCCCTGTCCTACTCCAGAGACCTCTCTGTTCAAACATCCTACACTGTGACAGCTGTCCAAGCTGAGGCATTTCCTTACTTACTAGGTAGATAAGAAAAAAACAGACCCTGGTTTATGCTCAATTTAGGCAGTGAACAAGGAGCTCAAGTCAACTGCTGGGCTTGAAACCAGAACTTTCAGATCCAGCCACCACCCCGACAGCCACACTTGTCAGGCCCAACATTCCACCATGGAGGCTGGTGTCCATGTCCTTCCAGCCCCAAGCTTAAAATTTCTCAGGGGGTCTACTGTTGCAGGTAACCAAACTCCTTTATAGGCTCATTCAGCCTTCTCCCACCCAGTGGTGTTCTCTGTGTTAAAACCCCTTGGGGCTAGGGATTTAGCTTAGCATAAGCTTGCAAGGCTGGCCTAAGCGCCTGCCTTGCAAGTGTGCAGTCATGAGTTCGATCCCCAGTACCGATTAAAAAAGAAAAAAAAAAAAAAAAAACCTGACACTCTCCCCTTAATTTACAAGGTACATTCCTTCAGTGACAACTGAGGTGAAGTAGGTGTTGGGAAGAAAGCGTTCTCCTAGTGTTAATTTTCTCAATGCTTTCTTTTAGTCTTTTCTTCTCCTATCATTCTGGACCTGTATGTATACTGTATAAAAATCCCTTAATTTTTTGACATCTCTCAAGGAAACCAGGACTATAATCTTGAAAGACACACTACTGAATGCCTTAATCTTCAATGATGAAATCCCCTCAAATCAAAAGTCCTAAGGTTTAAGGTCCTAAAATGTTAAAATATCAAAAATATAACTCGAGGGGCTGGGGATTTAGCTCAGTGGCATAAGCACCTGCCTTGCAAGTGTGTGGTCGTGAGTTCAATCCCTGGTACTAATTAAAAAAAAAAAAAAAAAAAAAGAAAAAGACCAAAAAATATGGAAGAAAAAATAACTCGGGAAAATACCAAATATTTTTAAAAGACATTCATATTTCTAAAGGGAAATTAATTTAAAAAACAAAAAGCATGAACAGAATGCTTCACAGCCAATTTTACACAATTTTACTTTTTAAAAGTAAAAATCTCAGCAATACGAATGATAGTTGTGTTGGTATAACAGTTATGAGTGGACAATTTTTTTTAAAGAACAGGTCAGAAAGAGAAATGTAGTACTATAGTTGGTAATGTTACCTAGCTTCACAGTCAGCAAAACTATGGTGGTAAACAACCTAAGTCTTTGAATAGATTAATCAAAACTGTGTGGGGTCCTAGTGCATATACAAGTAGCCCAGAGAGCCAAGGTCTTGAGAGATTTTCTCTTTTACAAATGCAGATATGTGGAAAGAACATCTCTTTGTTTCAGTGGTTTTACATATACATACAAAGCTTACACACAAAGTGTTGCAATAGTGCTCTTTTGTGTAGCCAAATTTGTAAAGAAATGCATAAAAGAAAACAAAACCATCTTTATATAAATTATGCTTTCAATATTGGAAATGGTATGAGTACCAAATACATACTATAAAAGAGTTGTAAAAAATGTTAATTTAAAATGGAAGACATGGGCCAGGGATTTAGCTCAGTGGTGTAAGTGCCAGCCTGACAAGTGCAAGGTCATGAGTTTGATCCCCAGTGCCAAAAAGAGAGAGAGAGAAAGAGAGAGAGAGAGAAAGAGAGAACTTTTTAAAAAGAAAAGAAGAAAAAGAAGAAGAAGAAGAAGAAGAAGAAGAAGAAGAAGAAGAAGAAGAAGAAGAAGAAGAAAAAATTTGATGAGAAAAAAAATATATTACACCAAAAGATTATGGACACTTACAGAAGTGGTCCATAAAAGCTCTCCAACTATTTTGACTTTGAGGTTTTCCCAGTCATCACCCATGACTGGACTTTATATATCCCCTGGATTTACGCTGCTCAGAGGAGGTTATAGTCTCTTGAGCTCAAGTTTGAAGCCACAACATTGTGTGATTTTTACCTATAGCTAAAGATTAAGAAAGCAAAGAAAGTAGAAAAATTTTTGTCTCACTAGTACCCAGCAGCTTGTCTCTATGATTGCTAATGCCCAATTTTCTGCCTAATTGTGCTGCTCTTTTTATTATTTTCTCATGGTTTGATACACAGTAGCATTCACATTCCCTATCAAACTTTCCCAGTGTCTGTGCCATGGCTCTTTATTGTTTTGAGTTTGTGAAAGTCCATTCCACTCTAACCCTAAACCAAGAAATCATAAATGATGTTAAAGTAAAACTGAAAGCAATTTTTATTTATGTGAAGAATAGATTGCTAATCTGGAAACTCAGGCCCATTTAGAAACCCACCAAACCGTCCATCAAATAAGGATTGATTTTTGTCCTAATTCTTTTGTGATATTGAAGACTGAACCCAGTTATATTCTCATTCCTTTTATGATTTTGGGCAGTAGGGTCCATTATCACCAGAACCACTGCCAAGACTTTTATTTCCTGGGTGTGCTCACACCACATCACCTAATCAAAGCTACGTGTGGATCAACTTATGCTGTGGTCCAGCTCAGCCCTTAGTCTGTAAGAAAGAGTACTGTTTTATGACTGGTGAGCCGGATGTATTTCCTCCAAGATGTCTGGCTGATTTTTAAAAAGTAAACATGATTAGAGGTCTTTGATTTTCTTTGTGTTTTCCCATGAAGTGAGAGGCCTCAGAGAGCAACACAGGAAGAAAGCAGCAGTTCAAAGGACTGATAAAAAGAACAATAACATGAGGGAGGTGCTGGGTCCAAGTGATTTGAGGTAAATTCAAGTATGAAGCTGTACAAATTACAAAAGGTTTCTTTCCTTTACCTATGAATTTCCAGATGCCTTTTTTTTGGTGCCAGGGATCAAACCCGGAGCCTCACCCTTGCCAGGTAGGTGCATATGCCACTGAGCTAAATCCCCAGCTAAAATGCCTTCTTATGAATTCCCTGAGTCTTTGTGGTAACTGTTTCACAGATTAACCCAGGAAAACAAATTTTAATAATGTAAATAATGAAGAGACTTGAACACAACTGTAAAAATCAGAATAACTTTTTTCAAAGTTATTATTAAAATAAATTTGGGAAGTATAAACGTTAATGTTATTTTGTTAGGCATATGTATATTTTAAAACAGTTGTATTATTTAGCTATGTGCTTTCTATTTGAATTTTTATATCAAAAATTTGGTTTGAATATTACAATATTTTTCTTAATTTTTTGAAGGAAAGTCTAAAAGATGTCAAATATGAGGATAAAGGCTTATCTCACTTGGCATTTCAGTTGGCAGACCAAATGCTTTCAGTTGTCAAAGAATTTGGGTATCACCGTTATAAATTGATTGTAAAAGTATTATTTATTCAAAAGACTGGTCAAGCAATAAATGTAAGTATCCCAGCCATCTAGCACTTGGTATGTATTGGGAAGACTCCAAAGCACTGCATTTCTCAAGTGCTTCTGGAATGCAAGATCATTTTGCTAAATTCATTTTTATTTTACTGTAAGGTACGTGAAAAATACTGACTTGGAAATAGTATTTGGCTGTTCATTTGTTAAATTGTGGTGTTATCCTGTTTCTTGTATCACTTTTGACCTTTCAATGTTTTTAAATTAATTAATCAGATTTATTTTGAGTAGTAATGCATATTTTGAGGAAAATGCAAAAATTACAAGGTATTGGCCAGAGCCAAGAGTGGTGGTACTCTCTGTAATCCTAGCACTTAAAGGCTGAGGCAGGAGGATGTTGCAAGTTTAAGACCAGCCTGAACCACATAACACAGTGAGACTCTGTGTTATGGATTGAGAACTGGTGGTCAACTTAACGCCAGCTGGATTACATCAGCATGCATTGAACAAAGATGCTCCACCTGAGGAGGGTTGCCAGAATAAGCAGGTGGAGAAGAAGGGAGGTATAGAGGGTTAAGGCGTTAAGGAGGCATTGTGGGTTCTCCTACGAGTTGCTGTCTGAGCTGTTGGTTCTCCTGGAGAAGCTTTGGTCCTCATATAGAGCATTGCTTCCCGGCTCTGGAGGGGAAGACATGTGCTGCTTGGTCTCCAGGATGAACTCATCACTCTGCTTCCTGGCATGTACCTGACTATGCTTGTTGTCAGAGGAGGAGCTCGGGGCCTCCATGTCACTGAGGACGGCTGAGATGCCTTCAGGATAGCCCTGGTCTTTGTTGTGAGTGTGACTTCTCAGCTCCAGCGTAGAACCCTCATCCCACTAGCACAGTTCCTTTATCCTGCTGGCATAGACTTTCTGGCTCCCACCGCTGACACTTGGGTCTTCACGGCATGGATCCATAAAAGAGACTGGCGTGAGTCCTTCTTGTGGCTCTGGGCCTCCAGTTGGACTTGTGGGAGGCATTGTGTTGAGCTCTGGGTTTTTATCTGGACTCATGTGGGACATTGCCCTGGGGTTTAGGCTCTTTACTAAATAGTCTATGCCTGGGGGCTGGGAATTTAGCTCAGCGGCATAAGCACCTGACTTGCAAGCAGGCAGTTGTGAGTTTGATCCCCAATACCAATAAAAAGGAAAAAGACAAATATATATATATATATGTCGTTGGTGTTGTGGATAGATTTCCTGCATTTTCCTGTGTTAACTCCCAGTGACCATTATAAAAATATTATAAACTCCATGTCCTAAGCCTACTTGTTCTCTATGTATAACCCCTGACTACAATACTCTGTCTCAAAAAGTCCAAAAGAAAGAAAGAAAGAAAGAAGCTGTCCAGGAATTTCAAGAAGCTTTTATTTTAGCCAAGGAATAAAGCAGCCAATTTTAGAATTTAAGGAAATGGAATGATATGAATATACGAATATGTTGAAACCTGGCTTTTGGAATCTAATTGCACAGGTTAAGAGTGATGGCGGAAGTACCCCGTGGGTTGGCATGGTTTTTCATCTGTGAAAAACACCACCCCGACTGTAGGATCTTAAAATAACAGTCACGTCTCTGCCCGCCAGTCTGGGGCAGCTCAGCGGCCACCAGCTGACCCAACAGGGCCTGGTGGTGCATGGAGGCCTCTCCCATGTCCAGTGACTGGTGCTGGCAGGGCGCCTAGGCTTCTCGCAACGTGAACCATTATGCTGCAGTGGACAGAGCGGCTTTCAGTTCCACAGGAGTCTCAGCACAGCATTTTGTGGGAAGAGAGCAAGACCTCTAACTGTTCTGCTTGGAGGCTGTACAAGGTTACACTCTGTTGGTCAGACCAAGTCAGGAGGCCAACTCGTATTGAAAGGGGGAGGAAACAAAGTCAGCATCTTGATAAGAAAGAGCCACAGATGTCCACCACACAGAATCAGGCTGTGATCAGACCAGGGGTGGTTCTGGATATAAAGCAAAGGCATAAGAATTATACATGACAGGCTATCATGACCGCCATTTCTTTAAAACAAAGTCTTGTGAGCTTTGGCAAGCAAGGATTCTTATAAGGATGGAAAAGATTTCTAACCACAGCCAATCACAACAGAATACTACTGCATGCCAAGCTGTGAGACCTGAAAACAGAAACTTCTGTCCCTGCCTGGGATATACTCTGTGGGGCTGCTGGGAGCCTCCAATTACATCTAACTGTAATTGTAGTGGTTCAATAAAATAAAGTTCCCAAGGGGGGAAAAATCAGCATTACCTATTTTCATCATTTTGTGAAGTCTTATAAAATATTTAATATTGTTGTACCCTCAAATGAAATATGCTATTCATTTAAATACAGAACTGGTAGACATCTTTTTAAAGCATTTATGAAAAGAAACATATTTAAGTTTAAATGTAGGGTTTGATATTCATTTACAATTGAGACTCAAACTGAAGGTCAAGTTTAGAATTTGATATATTTTTAGCTTACTGCGACATTTCAATTTTCTTCTCTTATGCAGTGTTCTGCTTGTCTTTGAGTTGTTTTCACTATGTTAAAAGAGAAAGAAGAATAAGAAATTTATCTTGGGTTAGATTGCTATAGATCGATATCCTGGGGTGGTGTCCTCCATCTTTGATACTGGGTGTCCAAACAGCATTACTCCTGAGTCTCTTCATCAAGGGAAATCTAGCTAAATTACTTATTAACCACAACTTCCTAAGATACTGATGTAATTGTTTTGAAAAATCAAATTAGTGGGGCTGGGGATTTAGCTCAGCGGCATAAGCGTCTGCCTTGCAAGCAGGCAGTCGTGAGTTCGATCCCCGGTACCGATAAAAAAGGAAAAAGACAAAAAAAAAAAAAAAAAAAAAAAGAAAAGAAAAATCAAATTAGTATGGATTTTAAATTCTTCATGTGTTCAATTGAAATTCGGTCTTTTACAAATTTCTCTCACAGGTTGCCAGCAGATGGATCTGGGACGTTGCATGGGACAACTGGGTAGAAGCGAAACATGAAACTGAATCTTACGTGGCATTGGTCTTGGTATTTGCTGTTTACTGTGAATAGCTTGATGCATATACTATGCACTGTTTACTTCCTAGCTTTCTAAAAATAAATGTCTACATTTATGAACCTCATAATTCTGATTAGCTACAGTCTTATCTCAAATTGAGGCCTTTTAATTGTATGAACAACAAATAAGCAAAAGCTACATTTTCACATTTACACTTTCTAGTTATATTTATGTGCTTGCTTTCTTGCTATGACAAAATGTCTGAAAAAATCAGTTCGAAGAAGGAAAGATTTATTTTGATTTACAGTTTTAGACGTTTGTCTATGGACTTTTGGTGGTGGACCAGAGCTGCTTACCTCACAGAGCCAGGAGGTTGAGAGCAGGTAGGGAAGGCTGTGGACAGACTGTGAGAAAAGGAGTGCAGTCCCTTCAAAGGCACACCTCAGTGACCTCCTTCCTTCAATGCATCAAACCCTCACCATCTTTACTATCTCCTCTCTGTTTTCCAGTATTTACCATCTCTCTAGCTGGAGTTCTGACCTCACATCTATTTCAACAGTCCCTTTCTTCCTTTTATTTATTTAATATTTTGTTCTACAGTTGCTAATATTTTGTTTTATAGCTACCAAGTTCTAGCACTACATGAGATATAAATTACACTGTAGTAAACAAAACAGAGTAGCCTTTGCCTGCCCTGAGGTGCTTGGTGTTAAGCATCCAATCTCTGTGGGTTATGCTAAATGCCTCAAAGGAAAAACTGGGGAGAAAAACTGACAGGCGGACTTATTTGCTGCAAGTCTCATCCTGTGCTTCACACATGTAACTGATAGCTTCTGGAGAGCACAGCTGATTACATGTCACTGCCTTAGTGCTTCTTGACTGCCTTTTGCGTGAACATGTGCTCTTCTGCCTAAAAGTTCTAGATTCTCCATGCTGTGACGCTGCACTGTTCTGAGGCTGCGGGTGTTACAGTTTGTGTTTGGATGTCTCCCCAAAGCCTCATCCAGTCTTAGGTGGGACTTTTTCAGAAGAGGCTGGGTCTCGAGTGTGTGACGCTGGATTGATTCGTGGTGCAATGATAGGATCAAGGGCACTAGGATAGAGGGTATGAGTGCCACTCGACCTAAGGGTGGGGAGCCTGGGTAAGAATAAGGGACAGGAAGAGCTGTGGTGATCCTTTGTTTTGCTACCTTCTGTGCTCCATGAACTATTTCTCTCCTGTGATGCCTGTCTGCCATGTTATCCTGACTTGGAGCCGGCTAATTATGGACTGAAACCTTTACAAACGGAAAGCTAAATAAACCTGTCCTTCCTTAATTTGTGGGTGTTGAGTATTTTTCTCAGCAATGAGATAAATAACACACATAGTGGATTCCAGGAATTGTAAACATTACAAACCTTAACAGTACTTGTCAATGCTAACCCTGTTTTTTTCTCACTTCCATTCGAAATTGGGTAGACACCCTCCTTTGTACTCTGGGGATACCTTCTGCACATTTCTATTTGTTATCTTCCTCTATCACAAAAAAGTTCTTCCAATCTCTTCTACCCCTAAAAACTATATTGAGGTTTATTCCAAAAAGACCTCCTCCATGCTATCCTGATCCATTCCACCAGCATTCCCTTGCCTTGAATCTGCCAGGCCATCATAGTAAATTCAGAACTCTAGGGTCTGAATCAGTTATCCACTATCCTGGGCTAGAGCACTGAAGACTGATCACACGAAACTGTTTTATCGCTCAGTACAAGAAACCCTCCCTGCTTTTTATGGTGAGTCACTGAATTCCCAGAAACTAAGCCCATGCATGGTAGCCAGACACTACCACTGAGCTATACCCCAGCCCCTTGAGCTTTTGTGTCTAGCCATATGTGCAGGAATATTCTGAGTTCTTAACAGTGACCTGCCTCATCCTGACAAACTCTTGACTGCAAACTCATTTATTTACTTATTTGTTGGTACCGGGGATCGAACTCACGACTGTCTGCTTGCAAGGCAGGTGCTTATGCCACTGAGCTAAATCCCCTACCCCTGACTGCAGACTCAGACTCAGACTTTTAAGAGTAGGCTGTTTTTCCTCATACTCCTTCTACCCCAGACCCTGGAGCTAGAGTGGACCTCTCTAAGTTTATACAGTTCTTTACCTGTTTCTATGGCTTCTAGTGCTTCACTGATTCCTTCGCATTGTTTAAGGAACTGAGCTACTGGAATATACTCCTCATCTCCATCCAGCTCCTGCCATCACTCTGTAACTTCAGGGTCCACACAGAGAAGCCAACAAGGCAGTGCTCACTCCATGGTTTAATATGCAAGAACTTCAGTTACCATGGTTTTATTAATAACGCCAGTCTAGCAGCATGAATGTCAGTTATGAGTGTATAACCATGACTTCATGGCTAGTTCTCAGTCTACAAATTCCTGTACCAGAGGGACATTATCTTAGGTGATGCTACTTTAATAGATGCCATTGCCTGGGTGGCTTAACATCTATTTCTTAACACTGCAGGCTGGAAACTGACAACTGGTTGCCAGCACGGTAGTGTTCATGATAGGTTTCCCTCTTGGTTATGTTCTCACATGGTCTTCCTTGGGTTCACAAAGAGGGAAAACGAGAGAAAGGGAGATCTTGTGGTGTCTTTTCTTCTTTTTATAAGGATATTCCCATCACGGAAGCCCCAACCTCAGACCTAAGATAAACCTACTTACCACCCAAAAAGCTCACTTCCAAGTCCCATGTACTGGGGATTAGTGTTTAATATATGAATATAAATTAGAATATATGAATCTATTATGAATATATGAACATGACGGGGCACATACATTCATACAAAGTGAGCATCACGGTTCTTTCAAAGTCTGCAAATCACTGATGACATCTACTTATTAGTTATTATGTTCTTTAGCTTTAAAAATAGGAAAACACGTAGTTATATTGCCTCCTTTCTCCATGATAGTCACATGATATTTACAAAAAATAGATTATCGAAAAAGTGATTTGTCTGGGAGTCTGAGGTAGGAAGATTGCAAGTCTGAGCCCAGCCTGGGCAACTTAGCTAAAAATAAAAAATGGGCTGGGGAATGTCACTCAGTGCAGAGGCCCTGGGTTTAATCCCTACTCAAAAAAAAAAAAAAAAAAAAAAAAGAAAAGAAAAGAAAAGAAAAAGAAACTGGGTAAGAAACACAAAAGTACAAATAGATGCAAATAATGCTAGAAGTGAAACTAATATAACTTAGCAAATTTAAAAATGATCATAGCAAAGCAAAGCAGAGAGGATGAGACCTAGGTCTAAAGGAAAGGTTCAGTACTGTAGGAGTCAGAGAAAAAATGTCCAGTAAGCAGAATTTAAATTGCTCTAGGAATGGAAAACTGATTATGGCTAAAATACAGAAATTCTCCTACTTTGGATTTAAGACTGTAATAAATAAAAAGTCTCAATCTGTTGGCTAGCCTTCTGGCCAAAGTGCTCAAATTGGCCATGCTGAAAGATCTCAGGAAATACAGAGCTTAACCTTTAAAGGGCCAGCGCTCCTCAGGTTCCTCGTTTAAAAAGTCAACATGAATGGATTACCCGGTGAAAACCTTGGTACTGTCTAGGGTGCTGCCTCCAGATTCCACAGGTTAATTCAAATGGTTATAACAAAAAGATGAAGATCCATAGGAAGAGACGTTGATAAGCACCTCTGAATGACAGAAATTCTTGGGGATATTCACAACATTGAAATGAGAAAGACTGCTAGTAGCTAATTCAAATTCAAGAGTGTGAGAATTTAGCAGGGCAGAAGAGGTGAACTACTAGTCAAGAAGGCAAACATACTTCAAATTACTATTCATAAGCTGTTTTAAAAAAGAATAAAGCACCGATCTTCCACATTTTTCATGCTTGGCAGTGTACTAAGTAAATATTAGCTTTGAAATGGATAAAATATATTTTAAAATTTAAAAGTAGCTGTATGGTTTTTAAAGTGTTTTGGCAAAAATTCTTAAGTGTCACAGAACAGTGACATCTTTTTCTTTTTGATTATTATCACTTTGCATGATTTCAGTTCTCACGGTCATTTTTAGTCCTGTGCAACCGTGCAAATCAAAGGTGGCCTGAACTTGAGCTCCCAGATTCCCTGTCCAAGTGTTAGCGAGTGACCTCCTCCCTGAACCTACCTCAGTTCACCTTCTAGCTTGCAATTCAGAACCCTATCATGGCCTTTGAGATTGTGATTTCCGGCGACCTACTCTCTTGCAATTATTTCCGGTTCTCCGGCTCACCAGTGCTCTGAGGTGTTACTTAAATTTGCATATGAATAGCGCACACTCCCAGGTTAGTCCTCGGGTACCACGCCCACCCTGTGCCGCTCTTCCCTGCTCTGCTTCCTGGTCACAGTGCACTAAACAGCTTTGCTCAGCCACGCCCTCCTGCTGCGATGTTGCAGCCTTGCCGCCAGCTGACCATTGATAGGATTATTTCCAAAAAAAACAAAAGAGGCCTTTATTCTGAGAACACGGAGAGAGATAACCGACACCCCCGACCGCTGGAGTCTGGCCATCTCTCTGGTGGACACGTGGCGTGTGTGTGTGTGTGTGTGTGGGGGGGCTATATAAGTAGCCTAAGCTCAGGGTAGTGCCCTAGGGCCATTAGAGATGCACAGGTATCTCATTGGCACAGGTTTGGCGCCAGGGGCAGATTCCGAAGGGTGGGGGGAGATAGAGTCACAGGTAGATCTCTAGGGGCGGGGGAGGTTCCGGTTGAGGCTTTTCTGGCTAAAGTGTCCCCTCTGGGCCAAAACCCTTTCAACCATAAACTGAATTCCCGAGGGGGGGGGACAACAACAACAAAACAACAACAACACGGGAGCTAAATTAAACTTCTCTTTTGTGTCAGGTATTACTTTCTGCAACAGGAAAGTTAGCTGATACTTGTACACATTTCTCCATTTGTCGTATTCAATTTCTAAGCCGACATAGCTTGCCAGTCCCTTTTTCTGAAACGCTCCCAAGATGTCTAATACTTGACATTGGTCGTCCTCCATCTCACTTCTGTAAGTCAAGTACTTCTGTACCCCTGCACTTGGCCGTTCCTTTCATCTATATCTACATGTTCTAAATGGTCTCCTTCATGTTTGCTGTTTTTTCTGTACCACTGCACTCCCAGGTCCTCAGGGCTCAACTAAGCAAATACTAAGTCTGTCATAGAATATTTTTGGAACAATGTAATGGACATTATTATTGATATCCTACAAATGTGGCCAGAGAGGTAAATAATGTGCCTATGATTACACAGCTAAGGAGCAAAACTAGGACTCCAACCGTATCCATCCCTTAGGTCACACTGACTCTGCAATTTTATCCCTAACTCCTAGAACTTGCCTTGATTTGCTTAATTCTTAAGCCAGATTAAAATGATTGGTGTCCCTGAATATGACTATTTTCCCAGCTCCAAGCCTTTTTAGATTTGAAATCTGATTTCCATTTCTAATTGAACTGTCCCTGCATCTGTTCTGTCTTTTACATCGTTCCAATTCTGTGTCATCCTTGATACCTTTCTGGCTGCAAGCAAATTTGCTCCCATCTAAACTGCCAAGTACAATTATATACGGGTACTTTTCCAGCTCTACGCTGCCTGCTTGCAACGCACTTCCGGAGCTGCCTTACACAGTGCACCACTCCATTCTTATCTGCTGACAGAAATGTTTTAAACTGCATTTCGCCTACAGGCAGAATACCCCAAAAAGAGTAGCACCAAGTGACTGCATTGCTTTCTTTGTTAACATTGCACTCTGTTCAGAGACTGAGGCGAGAAGTCGGTGGACGTCTCTTCTTCTCAGCGGACTTAGGATGGAGGGAGAAGTCCTGCAAGCTGGCACTCAACAGCTTCCTTCCCCCCTCTTTGCCTTTGCCAAGGATCCCGGGAACCGGAGCTGGTTTGGCAAGAGGCAGCAGCGGCAGTGACGGCCCAGGACCTGGTGATCGCAGGTGAAACGGGCTGGCCGTTCAGGGCTCCCTGTCCCCTCATCTCAGCCTTGTTGCTGTAACTGCCATGGCAGGTGACTAGGCAGGATTCCTCCGCAGTGCGTACCGCACTAGGGAGGTCGGTCACTGATGCACCTACACTGTCCCCTACTGGCCTGCGGCCTCTGGGATCCTGCTTTGCACCCGCCGGGCCTGCAGCTGTGTCTCCACGCCACCGTGGGAGCAGAGACACCGCCCCCACGCGGGCTGAGGGGATCTGGTTCAGGCCAGGAGCGAAGGAACAAAGGCGAGGAGCAGAGCAGGACTCGGAAGTGGGGGACCCCGGATGGGGAGGGAAGGGGGAGAGGAGAGGCGGGGAGGGGGCGGGGCGCGGACCCCCGTTGGGGAGGAGGGGAAGGCGGGGCCCCCGGCGTGGTGGGAGGGCGTAGGGACCCCCACCGGAGGGGAGGAGGGGGCGGGCACCCCGAGAAGGAAGGGAGAGGGGAAGGACCCCGGTGGGAGCGGGGCTGCGCGGGGCGGAGCGTGGGCTGACGCCGAGGGCCGGGCCGGGCCAGGCCGGGCCGGCTGGGCCGGGGGCGGCGAGGAAGGGGCGGCGGCGAGCGCGCCCAGCGGGGACGAGCCGGGGCGGGGCGGCGCCGAGGCGGTCCGCGGTGGCGTGCGGGGCGGCGGGCGGCGGGCGGCGGCGCGCGCGGGTTCGAGGCGCAGGCGGCGGGCGCGCGGTGGCGGCCGAGGCTCGGATGGCGGTGGCGGCGGCCCGCGGGGCGCGCGGCGGCAGGGGCCGGCCCCCGGGCGGGCGGGCGGAGGGGGCGGGGCCGGGGCGGCGGGCGGCCCGCGCGGGGGCGGCGGCGGCGGCGGCGGCGGCGGCGGCGGCCGGGGCCCGGCGGAAGCGGCGGCGGCGGCGGCGGCGCGGGGCGCTCGGGCTGATGGCGGCGGCGGCCGGGCCCGGGGCGGCGCTGTCCCCGCGGCCGTGCGACAGCGACCCGGCCAGTCCCAGAGCGCCGTCCCCGAAGGTGAGGAGTGGCGGCGCGGCCCGGGGCGGCCGCTCCCGGGGGCCGAGCGGGCCGAGCGGGGCGGCGGGGCCGGACGGGGCCGGACGGGGCCGAGCGGGACGGAGGCGGCCCGCGCCCGCAGCCTGGGCAGCAACAAGTGCGGGGCGGCCGGTGCCCCGGCCAGGCGGGGACGTGGCGGCGCGGCCGGCCAAACTCGCAAACTTCGCGGCCGGGGCGGCCGTGGGAGTGAGGAAGTGGGGGCAGCCGGCGGGGCAGCGTGGGCGCGGGAGGTCGGGAGGGACGCGTCCCGGACCCGGCCTGCGAGGGCGGCGGCCTGCGGCACCTGCCAGCCTGCCCAGCGCCGGGCTCGGCCGCGCAGTGTCTGCTCCGGAAAGTTCGGGATTGTTATGAGCAGAAGCTCCTTTACCCGTGCTGTGGTTATGCACACACTCTCACAGCGTATCACATGTCACAAAGTTATGAAATTTTTGTGAGAGATTTCCTTTTAATTTTTTTTTCTTTGCTTTTTGTTGAGTGTTTTTTTAAGCTATAAGGGAAGTAAACAAATTGACATAAAATTCCTTAAAATGCACAGAATGAAGTAAAACAGAAAGAAAAGATAGTTGAATGATTACAATGAATAATGTCTGAAGTGTTGACTATGAAACATTGCAATTGTGATACTTAGTGTGAAAATTTGAGAAACCAGATTATTTCCAACGTGGTTGCTAGTCTTAAAATCAATATCAGACTGTGTAATTGAATGCAAATTTGTTTTAAGTGAGTGAGTGAGAGAGAAAACCAACTCTAGAGCACTGAATGCCTATTTTGTAAGGATTAAAGAACGTTTTGTATTTGGAAACGAATCAGTAAATTCCTAGGGACCAGGGACATTCGAGTTTATATCCTCGTCATCGTAATACTTTCAAACGTTTATCAGTTATTTGCTAGTCCTTGTTCAAAGTGTTTCCCAGACGTTAACTCATCCTTCCTTTAACTGCATATTACAAGTTCTGTTATGGGCCTCGTTTTCAGAGAGGGAGAAACTTTGAGAGAAGAACCTCACAGCTAGTGAGAGGTGGGACCCAGGATTCATTTACAGAATTACCTTTGTTTTAATACGCAGCTAGAGGACCAGGACACTTTGACCAAATATTATAAAAAAACTATGATTTTTTAGACCTTAAGTCTTGAATAATAGGTAAGTCAATTTTCTGATAACTGATACCTCATTTCCTTATATGACTTACATAATGAATTGCATTAAATCTATCCGTATATGGTTGTCTTTTGGGTGTATGTATTGTTATAAATTAATGACCCTTATTATAGAGTGTAGTTTTGCATTGTAGGGTAAATGGTTAGGATTGGTAGCCTGTTTGTAGCCCTTTGGTGTCTCCTTTTCAGGGTAACATAAGTGCCTAAAGTAGGATAGTCCTGTGAACCAGTTCTGAGTTGACTCAAATGCTGTGAATGACCTGTACAGTTTTCTAGTATAGATGGGAGAGTTTGCTTTGATTTTCGAGTGATGCAGCAGTTTTTATCTGTTTATTAAAGGCAGAGAGCATTTTAATTTTACTTGGTGAGAAAGTAAACATGGGTTTAGAGTCACAGATTAATTGAAAGTTTTTTTTCAAGTGGAGGTTGGGTTTTAGTGTTGTTCCAGGTCTTGCTTATGTCAAATTCTGAGTCCCTTTTGATCATTATAGGGAATTAACGTTTGTGTAACTAGTTGTCCTTAGAAATCCTTTTCACTTACTGGGATTTTTAGCAAGACTGCAAGGATTTAAATTATTCTTTGCCTGTTTATTGTTTATCCTTTTATTTTTCTGATTGTTATTATTTCTGGATCTTCTAAACACATAGGATGATAATGAAGATAATTCAAATGATGGAACTCAGCCATCCAAAAGGAGGCGAATGGGCTCGGGCGATAGTTCCAGGAGCTGTGAGACATCCAGCCAGGATCTCAGGTACTGTGCTCTACTGCTAGGCAGGAGTGTTTGGGTATGTGTCTCTTCTTTGCATGTGTCCCTTTGGGTATGTGTCCCTTCTCTATCTCCTGTGTCCTAGTCCTGAAAATGGTATGAATTAAGACTATTAGGATATTTTCTTACTGAATCATTACACTTTTTTCCCTAGTATCTCTAGCATTTTACATTTCCAGTCAGTAGTACGGTTTTCATGGCCAGCATCCTTGCAGGGTTTTTTTTTTTTTGGTTTTGACAGTCGTCATCCTAAAAAGTATGCAGCAATATCTTATTGAGAGTTTGATTTGTATTTCCCTAATGCCTAGTGGTGTTATGAATTTTCCCCTGTGCTTGTTGGCCATTTGTATCTTTGAAGAAGTATCTGTCTGGTTCTTGGTCCTTTAAAAACATTTTTTTTTTCTACTTTTGAGTTTTGGAAGTTCTTTTTATATCCTGGATATTAGTCCCTTGTTAGATATGTATTTGTAAATACATACCTGTACATGCAAATACATATTTGTAAATACATATCCCAGTGCTCGACTCATCTTTTTGCTGGTGATAGTATCCTTTGAATTAAATTTTTTATTTTGATGAAGTCCAAAATATCTTTTTTTCTTTTAAAGCTGTGCTTTTTTTTTTTTTTTTTTTTTTATTAAAATCAGTACCAGGGATTGAACTCACGACCGCCTGCTTGCAAGGCAGGTGCTTATGCTGCTGAGCTAAATCACCAGGCCCCTGTGCTTTGGTTTTATAGCTAAGAATCCTTTGTCAAGTGAGAATTAGCTTTTATATTGGGGTTGTTGGTCCATTTGAGTTAACTTTCTGATGGAATAAGAGGATCAGTTTCATACTTCTGTGTGTAGATGGCTAGAGGCATAGCATCAGTTTTGGAAACACCTGTTTTTGTCAGATAAAAATGGATAGATCCATAAAGCACTGTCATGTTTGGTTCTGTTTTGGGTGTCAGATTGGCTTAGATCCTGAAATCCAGACTCTGCTGTTGAGGACTGAGTGGACTGCAATCCACTGGCGCTTTAAAACTGGGTACATTCTTTATTTGGATGTGTGTAGAACACATGAGAACACACAACCTCATTGAGAGAACGGAGTTCTGTGCTGTTAGCTGTTGGGACTCACTGAGCAGCAGAAACCATCAGAATTTGCTTCTTTTTTTATTAAAAAAAATTTTTTTTTTTTGTACCAGGGATTGAACTCAAAACCACCCTCTTCCAAGGCAGGTGCTTATGCTGCTGAGCTAAACTAAATTTTACTCCAGCCTTAAAAGTTGCTTCTTTACACTCCCTGTAGATGAAATACAGCATTCAGTGAGTGTTAAGCCTCAAAGCATTCAGAGCTCATACCCCGCTGCCTTGCTTTTTCATCTCTTACCCTGAATATGCCTTTGTTGCTGGTAGTTGTGAGTCCTGGTTCCTTATGGAATATGGGAAATATTTTCAGGTTTTTTTGATGTGATATTTCAAATGATCTTTCTTCTAAACTGTTCGGTAATTTTTCTTGATAAACATGAAATCAAATCCTAGCAGAGAACTTAAATACTTAATAGTCAAAATATCCTAGAAACAAAGTTATAATGTAGTAAGTGCCACATTTAAGGCATAAAATGGGTTTCTGTGCTTAGCTTTAGTTACTACCCAGCGGAGAACCTGATTGAGTACAAATGGCCACCTGATGAAACAGGAGAGTACTATATGCTGCAAGAGCAAGTCAGCGAGTACTTGGGTGTGACCTCCTTCAAGCGGAAGTATCCAGGTACCCAGTCTCGATTTATTGGTAGACTACAGCTACATTTTAGCTGATGGTAATTCTTTGTGACCAACTGTCTACTCCTAAATTCTGGCATATAAATTGTTTACAATTTATATTTTTGTTCTTGTGGGTTTTCACTTACTAATCAACATCTCGTTATTGATACATTCTTATGTCTCCCAAACTGATTTAAAGGCAAAATGAAAAAGGTGAATTTTGGTGGGAAGTTTTAGAACAAAATCATTTTGTAAATAACAGTTTTAGATTCTTTACTGTTGTTTCTCAACCTTAGAAATGCAGTTAGCTAAGTAAGGCATATTTAAATTTCAGAAAGATTATTCCTAATTACGTTAATATAGTTGTTTATGTTACCTTTTTTTAGCCTCTTTTTTTTTTTAAATCGGTAACAGCAATCAAACTCACGACCCCCCTGCTTGCAAGGCAGGTGCTTATGCCAAACCCCTGTTTGTTACCTTTATGCTTTTGGTTATTCTTAGTTTTGTTTTTTAATTTCCTTAATGTATAACATTTTTGTATAGTTCCCTTAATACTAAGACTACCTAATTTGAATTTTTTTAAAAAAAATCAAGTGTTTTTAACTTGTTAGAAACTTTATAAATGTATTTTTAATAGTTTTTTTTGTTTTTTTTTTTGAGATTTAGAGCGACGAGATTTGTCTCACAAAGAAAAACTCTACCTGAGAGAGCTAAATGTCATTACAGAAACTCAGTGTACTCTAGGTAATCTAAGTTTTTAACTTGAGTTTTTCAAACAATGCGTTTGTAAGTGGTATTGGATAAGTATTTATGCCCTTTTGTTGCATGTGTTATGTAATTAATAAAATAGAGTTATTTAAATTCTAAATTCTTTATTTTCATTATTAAAAAGAAAAGGAGAAAGAAGCTTTTCTTTTGTAATGATGTAATTTTCTAAGGATAACTTTCATAGAATTGTCAAAGTATTTATGTGCCAATTTTGTGTTTCTTTTTTAAGACTTTGCTTTGCTTTCTTTTTTTTTCTGGGAACCGAACTCCTGACCTCACGCTTGCCATGTAGACGCTGTGCTGCTGAGATGTATTCCAAGCCCAAGATTGTGTCTTCTTTTTTCTTTTGGTGTTTTTGAGACAGGGTCCTGTTGTATAGTTAAGACTGGTCTTGAACTCACTACATAGCCGAAGTTGGCCTCAAACTCACA